GGGCCGACAGAGCGCCATCTTGACGAGCCATGTGGCGTAGAGGGCGGGAGAGCCCACCAACCGTGACCCTGGGAGGAGTGCATACTGCCGGGTTTGTACTCCATGCAGGGAGTGCTTTTCATCAAGGCGAATGACTGGTCGATCCCGTGTACATCTTCGTCGCAGGAGCCCGCCCTCACAGAGACCAGTCCTGGAAGGCTGGCCCCAGGGCGGGTGTGGGAAAGTGAACGCTGTCCACACCGAGGCCGACTCCCCAGGGTCGCCCCCGTGTCAGTCGTTGTCGCTGTGGTGAGCCCCACGGATGTGGAGCGGAGGTGGCAGCTTAGAAGCATGTAAGTCGCCTCCCAGGATACCTCTCACGGCGGGCATGAGAGCAGTGGTCCGCCTTTAGGGCCCCACCGTGTGTTCCTCGATCATCAATGGTTTTCCTCGTGCGCGTCCTATCGTGGATCTGGAAGTATTAAAAGCAGTAAGGGTGGGCAGAAGCTGGTGTGCAGTGGTAACGTGAAAGGCAAAGGCACAGTTGCGGGGAACCCACCCCTAAGTATACTGCTGGCAACTTAGGCTGCAAAAGTGGGGATGACTGGATGCGACACCTGTAGCGAAAGGTAGGAATGGGTAGAATTGAATGAAGTCCCAAGCATAACTGAGTGGGGAGTAGCATAGAAGCCTAGTGATGGTACTGCCAGATACAAGAAGTGCTAACTCCTGGAACAATCAGACGCCTCCTCTGTGGGAAACGAAAAGAAATAGTGAATGTCAGCGTCTAGTAGTTAGTAGGCTCCAGTACGGCAATTATTAATAACAAGGCAAATTATAAGTCAATGTTAAAACACAGAGCAGACAGGTGGCTCCAAATGACTGCATAGAGTGCAGCGATGTCTATATCGCTATGCAGCAGGTAAATACTAAATAACGCCAACAGGCCAAGGTAAGAGGATGTTAAGTGGGCATCGAACTGTGAAACCACTTACGCTCAAACAAGACGAATTAGAACTGTAAAGAAATTATTATTAAGAATGGAGAGAAAATGCGATCTTCCCTTCTTCTCCCGTGAAAATCCTCGGCTGGAACTCGCCATTTGGAGCCTCGGCAGCTGGACCATTGCAGCTGTGGCATCTTCGGTTGGACACCGCTAGATATCAACTTCAGCAGCTGGGACATCCTCGGCTGGATACCTCCTTCTGGAGCCTCAGGTGCTGGGTCATCGGCTAGAAACTCTTCAGCCGGAACACCAGGGACTGGGCCTCGATCAGCGGCCGTAACACTACCAGCTGGGCCATCAGCTGCTGGATCATCGGCATGGACCACGTCAGTCGGCACGTCAGCAGCTGGGTCTGGCCCCGAGAAACAAAACTAACAATATGTAATATGTAAATTAGAAAGGAATATAAAGAATAACAAATGTAAAGAAAAGAAATCGTATATAAATAAAGAGGACAACTGTGCGTGCTCAGCTGGAACACCGCCAGCTAAGCCATTCGGCTGCTAGATTATCGGCGGGAAACCCCATCCGACGTAACATCAGCAGCCGGAACGTCGGCGGCTGGGGCAACTTCATGCCGGAATACCACCGACTGGGACATCAGCTGCTGGGTCCTCGGCTGGAACCTCGTCAGTTGGAACTTCAACAGCTGGGGCATATAATAATACGAATTAATTATTAACTAAAATAATTAATTGATAATAAAAATCATAAGAAATGATTAATTACAAGGGCATGGTCAGCTGGAACACCGCCGGCTGAGCTTTCGGCTGCTGGATCATCGGCGGGAAACACATCCTCCGGAACATTAGCAGCCAGGACGGGACATTATCTGCTGTATCATCTGCTGGGACCACATCAGCAGCTGGGCTTGGCCCCCTGGGGGCGTGCTCGGCCGGAACACCACCAGCTGGGCCATCAGCTGCTGGGTGATCGGCAGCATATAATAATAATACGTAATTATAACTACAAATAATTAATTAATAATAACTATCATAATAAATTAGTCATCATAAGGGCATGCTCAGCTGGAACACCGCCAGCTGAGCCCGCGGCTGCAGGATCATCGGCGGGAACCACATCCGCCGGAACATCTGCAGCCGGGACGGGCCATTAGCTGCTGGATCATCGGCTGGGACCACATCAGCCGGAACCTCCGCAGTTGGGCTTGGCCCCAGGGGCATGCTCAGCTGGAACACCACCAGCTGGGCCATCATCAGCAGGGACCACATCAGCCGCTGCTGGATCATCGGGAACCTCAGCAGCTGAGTCTGGCCCCAGGGCAGCTGTGCCATCAGCTGCTGGATCATCGGCAGGGACTACATCTGCCGGGACATCAGCAGCTGGGTCTGCCCGCAGGCAGGCAAACAAAAAAAGATGAGGGTTAAAAATTTATAACCAGAGTAAAATGTAGGATTGTAAAGTCGCGTAAGAAGTAGTAAGACCAATGCCTGAAACCACTTGCCCTGTTTAACATAAATCCATAAATAAATATGGGATAAATAAATATGGGGTAAATAAATATGGGATAAATAAATATGAGGGATGATAATAAACAGAGAAAAGTGAATAGACCTAACCAGACATAATGACTGATTAATAATTGAGACTTCATTTGTGTGTACTCCGACATTGCATTGGCACTTGCACTAGGCTCCATCAACAATGTGCCACGACTCATACTCCCTAGTTGCATCTTAGCAGCACTGGCGCACTGCTCAGTTATGTTATACGACATCGAGTAATATGGTATCGCAGTTTTTCTCTATCCAATAAATAGTAAGAATAGGTGGAGAACGATTATAATAGAGAATAACAAAGAATTATAACACTAAAGGATAACAATGATAAGGAATAATTGACAGGATTCGGCTGAATCGAATCTTCGGAACTGAAGTAATTCTTGACTTATTAAAGATAATATAAGCGTAAAGAAAACTTAATCTTTTCTTAAAGCAAAGATTCTTAGTAACTGAAGCCTCAGCTGCTGGATCATCGGCTGGAACCTCGCCAGCCGGAACTTCAGCAGCTGGGTTAATAATTAATTATAATAAATAATAAATAATAAAGAATAATAACAATGAAGAATAACAATAGTAAGGGCGATGATCCAGTCATAGTGATTAATAATCACTGGCGCACTGCTCAGTTATGTTATACGACATCGAGTAATGTGGTACAGCAGTTGTTCTCTCTCCAATAATTAAGAATAGATTAATGACGATTATAATAAAGAATAATAATAAAGAATAATAATAAATAATAATAACAATAAAGGATAACAATAATAAAGAAATTGGCTGGATTCGTCTGAATCGATTCTTCGGAACTGAAGTAATTCTTGATTTTATATTAAAGTAGGATATAAGCATAAAGAAAACAATCTTTCTCGTAGGAAAGAATCTTAGTAACTGGGGTGGCGGCCAGATGGGCGACACCACCAGTGTGGCGCCGCCCGCCCCCGGGCGTTAAGAGCCCGCACGTGCACGCCTCGTGCCCGGGCGCCCACCAGGTCAAGGGGCGAAGCAGAGCCCCCAAGGACCACGCCTAGGGCAAGCAAGCCTGGCCACGTGGGTAGAAAAAAAATATCCTTGTTTCTGTATTGTGTATTGTTATCATTTTGTATTATTCTATTCTGCTTTTGTGTCAAAATTTCTTCAATGTACCTGTAAACATTTTGTCAATTTTACTGTAATTATTCTACTTAAAATTATCTGTACCTGTAAAGAAAAGCTGTAAAGTACCTGTAAACATTTTTATCAATTTTACTCTTAATTTATCTAAAATTTTCTGTTAGTTTAAGGACTTGCTCGAAACGCTATTTGAGTGCTAGTGGCTTTACAAGAATGTAAATTCAACTTAATTTCTATATTATCTGTTAACCCCCAATGTATCTTCTTGTATACAAATAAATATAACGCTGTACACTTATTACTTCTCGATCGTCGTCGCCCCTAAATCAACAAGAACACTTATTAGGTTGCAAGACCTTCAAGTTCAGTAATAACTAAGATAAGCAGAGTACTGAATTGTCACGGTGATTGTGAGAGGCGCATGTGAGAGTCACAAAGTACCTAAAATACTTAAAGTACTAAAAAAAGTACCTAATTTCATTTTCATAGTTTTCTACCAAGTGCTTTATCTTCACACACTATCTAGTGCTACTCAATCCCCAATATTTGTACCTAAGCCATATTACTTTACCATTGTAATCTTAGATATCATCTGATATCATGGTTGTTGTATTGAATGCATATTCTACTGCATTATTCCTTTAAACTTTTCCTTGAAATGATCCTCATATTGTGCTTCAGTGAACCAATGTATAACTGAAATGTTATCCTTAAAAGACACATCGAACACCTTATGTAGGGCATACGTAAATCTGTGTATCTATGTACTTACGTATGTAGGTTAGCTTAGCATTTTAAAAGCACCGAATCACCTTCTGTGGTTGATTGTTCAATAAACCCTTGAACTATATGTTTAACACATCTCTAACCCTGTCCATGGAGGACAGAAGAAAATGTATATATGCTGGTTAGCATTGTAAATGTGTGGCCACGTTTGTGGTAAAAAATAATAATAATAATAATAATAATAAAAATATCCTTGTTTCTGTATTGTGTATTGTTATCATTGTGTATTATTCTATTCTGCTTTTGTGTCAAAATTTCTTCAATGTACCTGTAAACATTTTGTCAATTTTACTGTAATTATTCTACTTAAAATTATCTGTACCTGTAAAGAAAAGCTGTAAAGTACCTGTAAACATTTTTATCAATTTTACTCTTAATTTATCTAAAATTTTCTGTTAGTTTAAGGACTTGCTCGAAACGCTATATGAGTGCTAGTGGCTTTACAAGAATGTAAATTCAACTTAATTTCTATATTATCTGTTAACCCCCAATGTACCTTCTTGTATATAAATAAATATAACGCTGTACACTTATCGATCGTCGTCGCCCCTAAATCAACAACAACACTTATTAGGTTGCAAGACCTTCAAGTTCAGTAATGACTAAGATAAGCAGAGTACTGAATTGTCACGGTGATTGTGAGAGGCGCATGTGAGAGTCACAGCCCACACCTCTGGCCCCAGACGGTGCCAGGTGTCCTCCCGAGACTGACGATCTGTGATCTACCTAGGCCACTGTAAGTATTTGAATCGCTATCCTCAACATTGTGTATTTCCAGCTGTAGGGGTGAATACGTAAAGTCCTCGTGGCGCAGTGGTAAAACACTCGCTCGGCGCTTTGGCTTGGGTTCGTATCCTGGGCCGGGAAGGATTGACTGGGCGCCAATCCTTAACTAGCCTCTGTTTACGCAGCAGTGAATGGGTACCTGGTTGTTAAATGATTTGGCGGGTCGTATTCCGGGGAAAATTAGTATTAAGGACCTGCCCGAAACGCTGTGCGTGCTGTGACTGTACAAGAATGTAAGAACTTGTATAAAGTTCTTACATATATAAATAAATCAATAACAAGAAAATAGTCGCATCATACCCACGGCGGCACGGTCAAATCGCACACAGGAAGGTTTGAAAAACAAAAAGGTTGTTTTCTGATTATCGTAGCCGTATATATGTATATATCTCGTTAGATAGGTTGTGCTAGGTACGGCCAGGTTGGTTAGGTTAGGTTAGGTTAAAATCCGATGGCGACCTGACATGTTTATGACGAGACTTGTATCTCTCCCTCCCCCCAAGCACTCGACTTATCCCAGTGCTATGGGGTATGGTCATTTCCTACACAACGATTCTTCAGTGGGCGTTTCCTGTTAAAAACCATATGTGGTTATGCTATAATGTATTTATTTATTGCAATAAGGTACATTGGGTTTGTGAGAGTACATAACATTGGTGTTCTTACAGGCTTGCAAAGCCACTAACACCCATAGCATTTTGGGCAGTATTAGGTGTGGTTATGCTGTCTTTGGCTCGGTTGGGTTGGGTTAGGTTAGATTAGGTAGATTTTAAAATCGATTGGAGAGTTGTCTTCTGTATGAAGTGACTTGCATTCATTATAAATGAATTAATATGATTTCTACAGTTATAAAATGATCCTTGTTGAAATATTTTTTGTATACTTTGACCATATACTGCTCTACAAGGCAAGCCACCTTGCTGCACTTTCTAGCAGTCATAAGATATTCATTATCATTATGTATCCCATACCAAGTTCACATATAAAACTGTGTAAGGTAACTGTGTAACACTACCATACTAATGTCTGAAATATTTTCAGGGCTCGTCCATTTTATTATGCGAGTTTAGGTTAGGTTTAGTTAACCTTGCAATAAGTGTATATTAAAGTGCTATAGTAAGTGATTACAGTTTTCTCACCCTCATAGCTTACAATGTGATTTTCTGTATCATAAATAGCATGTCAAGGGAAGAAACTTTGGGTATCTAGTGCTACCCAATCCCCAATTCATATTCCTAAGTCATACAACTTTATCATTGTAATCATTGCTATCACCTTACATCTTGGTTGTTTAATTGAATGCATATTTTACTTCATTATACCCTGAAATAATCCTCAAATTATGCCACAACATGCCTGTTGATAACTCCCAAATTTTATTATACTTTAATGTACCTACTACTATATGTGTCAAATTTTCTTACAATGTACCTGTAAACTTTTTTCAATTTTGCTAGAATTTAACTACTTAAAATTATTTGTCAGATTAAGACCCTGCCCGAAATGCTATGTGTGCTAGTGGCTTTACAAGGATGTAATAACATCAATACTATGTAAATAAATAAATAAATGTTTATTCAGGTAAAGTACAGACATACAAGAGGTTTTACAAAAATTGATAGATTTATAGATAGAGCTAGTACATACAATGCCTAAAGCCACTATTACGCAAAGCGTTTCGGGCAGGAAAAACATTAAAGACTAAAACTTAATACTAATTGAGATTAAAGTATAAAATGTGTTGAGAACAAATAAAAAAAAAAAAAAGTGGGGAACATGGCAGAAAAAGCAGCACAAATACAATTAGGTCGACAAACAGCGTTGTTTAAAAAAACAGACATGGGTTGACAATATAGGGGTAAGATAGGTTACAGGGAATTTATTAGGTAGTGCTTAGTTTTTATCTTAAACTGATTGAGAGAGGTACAGTCCTCTCACAGTCCAGAGGTACTGTACTCTCATGAACCCAGTGTATCTTCTTATATATAAATAAATAAATAAACAAACAAACATTTAACTCTAGGATCCTCAGTGTTAGCAACCATAACAAATATATGTACAGAAGGATTTATTTATTTATTTATAATTTATTTAAATGTTGTTATTTATTTATATATACGTATATACAAGAAGGCACATTGGATTTATGAGAGTACATAGTATGATGTGCTTACATTCTTGTAAAGCCACTAGGACACACAGCGTTTCGGGCAGGTCCTTAATCTAACAGATAATATTAAGTATGTAAATTCTAGCAAAATTTATAAAATGTTAACAGGTACATTGTAAGAAAATTTGAGATTAGTTGGTTTATTAAAGCACATTGATAGCTTTGATTGATAACATTGATGGCTTGATTGATAATTTGACAAAGATTAGTAGACACAATAAAGCATATTGATAGCACATATAAGAGGACAGCAATGATCACAATGGTAAAGTTGTATAGCTTAGGTACATATATTGGGGGGGGGGGGGTTAGGTAGAACTAGATACAGTGCAAGTTTCAAGCACTAGGTAGGAAACTATGAAAATGAAATTAGGTACTGTACTTTTTCTTTTTTCTTTTTGAATAAAGCAAAAGTTGGACAGATTTACAATTCATTAGGAGTGAGTTCCATAAACTAGGTCCTGTTATTTGCGTAGTGTTTACACATATTAAGTTTGACTCTGGGGATATCAAAGATATTTAAATGAACAAATCCACAAGGGGCCATGATGAGGGTTCGAATCTACGTCAGAGAGGATCCCAGATGCGCCTTAATCGACTGTGCTACGACATGGTAAAAGAATTGCAATGGGTAATTCAACTGACCTCACACAGATCCTGCAGTCTTTCCAAGACACAAACCAGGGTTTTACACAATTTCCCCATGCACCCGAGCTCTGTCAATAAGCTATTCTACCTCTTCGCCCTTACTTCATAACACAGAAATCACAATAGCGTGATGCATCATGCTATAAACTCGTAAGCGGACTAATTCCTGCATACCTATTTACTGCTAGGTGAACAGAAGCATTAGGCGATAGCGCACCCAACCATTTCTGTCTCGCCCAGGATTTGAACTCAAAATTCGCGCTTGTGAGTTGAGAATGAACCCAGCTATTCTACTGGTATTGAGCTTTCTTCAAAACAGATGTCAGAATGTATGTATTTAAATATAATATATATTTTCAGTGTGTTGACCAGACTACACACTAGAAGGTGAAAGGACGATGACGTTTTGGTCCATCCTGGGCCATTCTCAATTGACTTGAGAATGGTCCAGGACGGACCGAAACGTCTTCGTTCCTTCACCTTCTAGTGTGTGGTCTGGTCAACATACTTTAGCCACATTATTGTGACTCATCTCCTGCATATTTTCAGTGTGAACAACTGCCCTCTACCACAGAAACTTGACAGTATACTGTGTATAACTTTTCTGAAGTTTTTTTCCACAGACGCAATATGACTACAGCTAAGGTATGGCAGTTGGTGAGGCGACCTGTTGGAAAGCCTACACCGGAAGATTTTGCTTGTGTTGAGGAGCAGCTGCCACCGTGTTCTGATGGTGGTAAGAGTGACATTGGTGAAATTTATTTGATAAATTAGGCTTGTAATAATGAGCAAAAATAGTTGAGAAGTTTTGAAGCAATTATAAAGTCTTATTTAATTAATATATTTTCTTTCACATAACTGAAATTAAATTCTGAAAGTGTGCTGTATTTCTGAGCTCCTACATTCAGCTACTCTCTAAAGTATGATTCCCATTGTGTACTTTGGTATAGAATGGGCTCTTGGGCAGGGCTAAGTACAGCAGAGTTTTAAGTGACTGGTTGTTCTCCGCTGACTGCTGCATTGCCAACTTCTTCTTTGGGCTTTTCGGGGTTTGGTTCTCTGGTGCCTTCCTCTGCCCTTACTCAACGTCTTCACGAGTGCTTCGGCTCACGGTTGGGGCTTTGTGACCAATACCTACCAAACTTACAAGGGTTGTTGCTTGACACGCAGTACGGTGGGAAAGTTTGCAGCCGTGTGGCATGTGTTGTGGAGAGTTCTGATTCCACTGGGTTCTGTGATCCATCTTCACATGGACTATTCTTTCATGGTTCATTATCTTGACCATGGGAGTTCTCTTTGGCCTCTGCCTCTTTGTAGCTGGTCTCTATGGTTGGTTCATCTGCTGGTTTCTCAGGGTTTGGATCTCTATGCCATTTCTGCTTGATACCTTCTTGATAGGGTTCTGGGAGTTCTTCTACTCCCCAATCTCAGCCCGAGGCCAGGCTTGACTTGTGAAAGCTTGGCTCAGTAGGCATTCACGTCCAGTGTGCCCAACTTCCTGGCCAGTGGTTTGTCCCAGCTCCTCCCTGTTTCCACGAAATGGATCATTGATGCCTCCTCCTTCTAAAAGGAGGAGGCATCTCCTCATAAAAGGGGGAGATGCCTCCTGGTCCCGGCATCTCCCCCTTTTATGAGGTGCTATTCTCCAACTGTGAGGCTCTAGTGGTAGATACCTTTTGGCTTGACTGGTCGAGATGGGGGTTCCTGTACCTCTTGCTCCCCAGTCCAACTGTTGCTCTGGGTCCTGGTACATGTTAGAGTCCTACAGAGGGGGAGGGTGATAACAGGCATGTCCAGATAAGTGGCGTCCGGAAAGCATATACAGTGGTACCTCGCATAACGAATTTAATCCGTTCCATGTTCGTCATGTGAAACGGACGTCATACAAAACGAGTGTCCCCCATATAACCAGTGTGATGCACTGTGTTTATTGTGAAATTTCCCCAGTGTGCATGACATCAAATGTTCCCCAAAATATAATTTTTCTTTGCAAAATGATAAATTACCATCCCTGAACATGTCTATGTAAAAATAATTACCAAATTCCACTTACTTTGGCTGTGAGGGCGTGGACAAGGTGCGCTGTGACGTCATCAGGGGCTGGTCGCCCGTGTGTGAAGCTCCCAGACACGGTCGCGCAGGCCATTCAAGCACCGCGTGTTGCCACAAATATATTTTCAAATATTTTTTCTATGCATTTCCAAAGCGGTTTTATTTGTTTCTTTTATCGTATATGATGCATATTTGTGACCTTTACAATATGTATACAGTAGAATGTTCATAATTTTCCATGAAACTGTGATACATGTGTCAGTAATGTGTCCACATTAAATGTTTGTCACAATATTACGTGGTAAAAATTCACTAAAATTACAATATGTACAGTTTCACATACTATTTACACAGTAACACACTGTATTACACACTCAGTACTTTGGAGGTGCGTAATAGTCAACGAAGTAGTCCATGGTACACAGCGCGACTTTGCTCTCCTTGCACCAGCTACAGATAGATTTTCGTTTCCTGTTTCATCGTTCTGTGTGCTTGCAAATAACACACTCGCGTGCACCCTTGGCTTTAGTACTTGTAGGTGGTATGTAGCCAAGCTTGTAAAGCATAAGGTAGTATTGAAACGATTATAGGAAAAGCTCAATTTGTAAGGTAGTCTTGAAAAGATCGCTTTGTAAGGTCCCACACAGGAAAAGATTCAGCTAGCCTCAAAGAGTGTCCATCAGTCAGGAAGAGATTCAGGTATTCTTGAAAATATCAATGAACACCACCACCATGGAAGCCGCTAACACTGTTCATCTATGCTACTTGTATCAGATGCATCATCACTGAACGCAGAAAACGATTCATCTATGTATCATCTACATACATTAGAGATGGCAAGGGTGGGGCTCAGAGCTACACCTGGATACACTCGCTGTATCATCCTCATAGGTGCTGTATCACTGGCATCCGACCGTTGTGTTAAGCCCTTATTGCGCCTAGCTTCACCAATGTTATGACCCTTATGTTCTTCAAACAATAGGGTCTGAATTGCACCGACTGAGCAAAGTCTTTCTACACCGTGTGGGACAGGTGTTTGAGAGCCAGAGGCACGTGTGCCACAAATGGTTGCTCACGCACTACTAACCCAGCCAGCAGCCCTTGTTTTTCATATTCGTTATAGCAAAAGGTTCGTTCAGTGTTTGTTGGGTAGGCTGCTCCATTATGACAATCTTTCTTTGTTTCAAATGTGTTCCATTTGTTTTGTATTTGTCACTTACGTCTCAATAATGGAGCAGCCTACCCGACAAACACTGAACGAACCTTTATGACATTTGTCCATTTTTTCAAATTGTTTCAACAGTTCTTTTTTTTTTTTTTTTTTTTTTTTTTTTAAGAAACATGGAGCAGCCTACCTGCCGACCACCAAACGAACCTTTTGCTATGAGACAAATGAAAAATAAATATTGAACACATTTGAAGAAAGGAAAATGTCATAATGGTTTACTCAGTGTATGTAAGGTAGGCTGCTCCATTATTGAGACGTAAATGACAAATAAAAAACAAATGGAACACATTTGAAACAAAGAAAGATTGTTATAATGGAGCAGCCTACCTGCCGAACACCGAACGAACCTTTTTGACATTTGTTATATATCAGACATTTCATTTCTTTTTTCCTACAAAAACGTCAATGCTTTGCAACATCTCAGCAGTCACCCTTTTATATCCCAGCATCATTAGCATCTTTAAACAAGAACAACATAATTTATGTGCATCGTCGGAGGCGTCTAAGAATGAGCAAGAAACAGCGCGACCCCACCATGTGGTGTTGACGTTACTCAAACCAGCGTTCGTCATACGGGACGATTTGATGCCGATCAGGCCGTTCGTTACCCAAAATATTCGTCTTTTGGGGCAATCGTTATGCGAGGTACCACTGTATTTTTGAGTTCTACCGAGCTTACAAGTGGATTTGTGCAAAAATCTTGGTCCAGCTTCAGTGGAAGCCTTGGGAAACCTTTGTGACCTCAGTAGAACTCCAGGTTGCAATACTTTTGGCCATTCCTTGGCCTAGTTGACTAGGGCATATGCATGGGAATATGCACCACATAAGTTCGAATCCTCATCACGACTCCTTTGGATTTTATTGTTATTATTATTTATTATTATTTATTATTATTATTATTATTATTATTATTATTATTATGTACATAGAGTATATTGAAGTGCAGTATTTTGCTGGTATGCTTGATGAAATTTCTTTTCATCAAATAATTTAATTGTCTAGTACAGTAGTATATACTGTACTGTACTGCATAAAGAAATTTGTATTGTTATTGTATTCTATAGTTTAGTAAGTACAGTACAGTCAGTGCTGGGTTATCCATTAGGCACAGAGCCTAGGGGTATTTGAGATATAGTAATACTCACCTAGCTGTGCTTGCAGGGGTTGAACTTCAGCTCTTTGGTCCCGCCTCTCAAATGTCATGAGTAGTGGAGGCCTAACTAACTTTTACAGGATATTATTAAGTTAATACCAAGATACATTTTCAGTTATTTATTACTTAATCATATTAGTACAGTATCTATGCTATTTAATGATCTTTTATACTATTTTTTTTTAGTTAGTCTAGCCATAGATGAAAGCAAAATAGTAGGTACTAGCTTGTGATATTAGTGAATGTGCTGTCAAAATTGGTCCCATATTTTGGAGATGCCTAAGATTTATGAATGTCTTAATCTGGCCCCGAGTACAGTACAGTATATAAAAGTACTGTACAATACAATATTATAGCATTGCTTGAACTGTATACATACAGAGGAATTAAATAATTAAGTAAATACTGTACTTAACAAAAATCACCTGAAGGTAATAATGTTTTAAATAAAACATGGTCAATCATCAGATGTAATAACAGAAGCAGAATATCTAAGTGTGGACCCCTACATGAGGTACAGGGCTCGACAGATCCCTCTCAACACAACAATGGTTGGCTCACAGGTTGCCAGGTTAGTTGCATGCTCTGTGCAGTTATTTAACATATGTACTATGGTCCGTCAAATTTGTCATTTTGTGATTTTTTTTTCCTAAAAATCATGATTTGATAATATACTGTATCATGACCAAAATTCGATCTTAGTATTTTACGAACTGTCAACAATTTTAAAAGAATCTATCCTATTACATACTGTATTGTGCTGCATGCTGGAGGGAGGGCTCTGTGCCACAAGACATGAGAAATGCGAACATCATTACTCTCTACAAAAATAAAGGTGACAGAAGCGATTGCAACAATTATCGCAGCATCTTCCTCCTCCTCAGCGTCATTGGCAAGTTCCTGTTCTGGATTTTGCTGTGTGTGGTGTGGTGGCCGGGTGTCTTAGAGCAGGCATGTCAAACTGAGGGGTCCTACGAGGGCCATATGAGTCTCATTTGTGTTGGCATTCGTGATTCATTTGTGCTTTTGAAATCTGTTAAAAGGTGATGGTTTAAATAATAAAAACTACAATTTTGGCTATTAATTTACCAAATTACAGTATCCTTTGTGCGGGTTGCAGGTGTGCTTACAAAGGGCCGTATGTTTAACATGCCTGTCTTAAAGTACATGAGCAGCATGCGCCTAGGGTGATCTTCTCTAGGTCTATCAGTACGTATTAGTTTGCATTTCAGGAATATCTGGAATATTCCCTTGCATTTCAGGAATATCAGGAATATTCCCTTGGGTTTCAGGAATGTATTCCTTGGGGCGTTTGGGAATCGCTCCCATTTGAGGACTTCATTGCTTGGCGTTGTCTTCACCCGTTGCCCCCCCCACCCCATTGTCTTGGGCTTTGTCTTGCCTCAGGTTGGGAAGCGTTATTGGCTGGGTGGGGCGCACTGCCACTGGCACAATTTGCATGTACGGCGGCTGACGATTTTCTCGGGTTGCCAGTTTGTTAGTTGTGTGTTTAAGGAGGTTTTGTTTTTATGTTCTAGTATTTTTGCCTTTTGTTAACGGAGGTGGTCTGTTTAGCTTATTAGGCTAGTCAAGGTTGTGTTGGTAGTCCTCCTCTGTTGCCCTGAGGCTTCCGGGTCGACCCAGCCGACTCCCTTCTAAGAAGCTTTACCCTTGGACTGGAAGAGGACTCCTTCCCAAGGATCCGTGTCAAGTTCCCAGGGCTCGTGAGTCCGCTTGGAGCACTTGGCCTCCTTTCGACCCTGCTTGGGCCCTTTTGCCTTCTGGGCAGGGATTGTTGCTGCAAGGGAGGGGGTTTTCGTACCCTTTTTTCCTATATTAATTTGAGTAAGGTGCAGTTCCTCCCATGTTCGTTTCCGGGTGCTTTTGGTTCCTTGGATTCGTCCTTCCGGAGGTTTCCTTCCTCGCGGATTTTCTCTGGGGAGTTTCGGAAGGCCCTTGGCATGTACCTCCTGCGAGACCCGGTTTATCCCTTTGATAGATCCTGCTTCGTTTGAGTTCGGTTCTTCTCCGTATTGGGTACATTATGAGGTTCCAGAGTCTTCTGGCTGGCAGATGGCCCCTTTTTCTCCCTTGGAGCTTTGGGTGACTTTTGTCATACCCACACGCTTGAGTGGCGGGAGGTGTCTTCGATGTTGCAGGCATTCTTGAGGGTTCTCTAAGGTTTCTCAATGAGTGTATCTTTGCTTCTGCTCTTCCTCATGAAGTGGGTCTGGTGCAGTTGCATGCTTAGGTTCTCACACTTTCGGCTGCCTTGGGGGCTGAGGACTTTCAAACTTGCGGTCATTTGGCCTCGATCTTACGCTTCTTTGGTCTTCTGGAGTTGTCTTCAGATTGGTTTTCGGAGGATGTGGGGACGTTGAGTGAGGGGCCTTTGTACAAAGCGGAGTGGTGTTCACTCTGCGGTGGTTGGCCACTTGGGGGTTTGCAATGGCTTTTGGTCACCCCGTTGACAGGGCAATGTGGGGTGGGGGGAGTGTGGCTCTTTTTGCCTGCACTTGATCCCGCGATTTGTAGGCTTTATGGGTTGTTTCTTCCGGCCTTTGGTGGAGTTGGGCGGACCTTCCCTTTGTCAGAGGGTCGGGTTTCTGGGGGCAGGCTTCTTGGCCATCCTTCTGTTGGGTTATCTTGAAGTGGCCTTACTTGGGCGTGGTAGAAATGACCTTGTCTTTCAAGTGGGTTTCCCCACCCGTTTTCATTTCCGAGGCGGGACTGTGCAGATCTCTGGTACAGTCTGGACTTGTCTCATCTGAACTGATTGATTCCTTGCCCTTCTTTTCGGATGACCACGTTGTCACAGGTATGGCTCGTCCTCAAGCTGGGTGCTTGGATGATTTCGCATGATCTCTAGGATGCTTACTGGCATGTCCCAATTCATCTGGGGTTCAGGGATTGGTTGGGGTTCAAGGTGGGACAACAGGCTTAGCACTTTTCCATTTGCCTTGAATCTGGCACCTCGCGTTTTCACACGCTTAACTCGAGTCGTGATGGCTCATCTGCATCTGCTAGGTATTCGGGTTTTGGCCTACCTCAATGACTGGTTGGTGTCGGCTCACAGCCGGTTTGCTAGCCAGGGGTCTGGTTCTTTCCCGGCTTGTCGGATTCAGGTTCCTGGTAATTTTGTGGAAGTCCCAGTCGGTTCCGTCCCAGGTTTGGACTTGGCTGTACCTGGTATGGGATTCTCGGACTGTGTCCCTTTCCCTCCACCCCCCTTCCCCACAGCTCTGCTACGGCTGCAGTCCTGCTTTCAGCTGTGGCCCGCCCCCCCCTCCCTCTGTGGGGGCAACCACAGAGGACCTAGGTCACTCTGTGGTTGCTCAAACATCTGTGTGGGAGCCTGAACTTTGTTCTGTTGGTTTATCTGCTGGGCAGGGTTTGACTTCGGAGGCTGCTCTGGTATCTTCGGAGGTGGCCTCTTTCGCCACTCTCATGATCGCTGGGTTCTTTCCCCGGTGTCTTTTTGCCAGTTGCTGAGTTACCGGCTTCCTATTTGGGGTTTGGTGCCATTTTGCTTTCCTCTACCCTCGCTTGATGTGTTCACGTATTCTTGTCTCTCGGTTGGGGCTTTGGGACCAGTGCTCACCAGTCAGGCTGGGGGGCATTGGGAGGCTGTCCTTACGTCGAGCTCACAGCACTGTGTGGGTGTTTGTGGTGATGTGGCAGGTGCTGCAACGGATTTGGCTTTCTTGGGGCTCAGTGTTCTGGCTCCATTCGGACTGCTTCCCCATGGTTCATTGTCTCATCTGGGAGGGGTCTCTTTGGTTCGTGGCTCTTTGGGGCTGTTCACTTCGGGTAGCTGTGCCGCTGAGTTCTCAGGTTTTAGTGCTGTTCATTTAGGGGGGTGTCCAACGTCCTGGCAGATGGTCGATGCCACATCCTTCCTTTGACTTTGCCAGACATCCTGGTGTCCAGAGGTGAACCTCTTCGCATTGGCATCTCCCACTATACATGGGACCATTCTCCAATTGCGAGGCCCTCGAGGTAGATAATTTTCGGCAGGACTGGTAGAGGTGCGGGGTTCCTGTACCTCTTCCCCTGGTCCAGCTGTTGCTCCGGGTTCTGGCACGGCTGGTTCCTATCGAGGGAGAATGGTTGTCTTGGTTCCGTGGTGGCAGGCCCAGCCTTGGTTTTAGGCGCTGCTTGCTCTGTGTCCGAACCTGGGCATTTTTTTGTGACTCCGCCTCTTTCGGCAGGTAGGGCTGGTGAAGTACCATGCTGGTTCGCCTTACTGTTCCACTCCGCATTTAGCATGGCATGTCAGTTGCGGAGTGTGGACTGACACTTCGCATTTGACATGCGGAATGTCGTTTTCCTGACACGTGTATCACACGTTTTTCTGACACGTGTATCACAATATGTGTGGTGATCAAGTGGCTTCTTTGGTGGTGTTCCATCTGTGGTCTTCATCTCGCCGACAGTATGAAGTTTCCTGACAGACTTTCCATCTTTTTCTTTTTCTTCGTCAGCTTTTGTCAACCAGGTTGTTTTGTCCTCTCTTTCTTGGCTTGTTCTGGATCGGCATCTCATACGGTGCTTGCAGAGCTGCTGAGCTTGGGTTTGGGGTGGATGTCGCATCTACTCCATTCCACAAGCTCTCGTGCATTTTTTCACCTCCGGCCTGCTCGTGCGCCGCCCGAGCCTTCTTGGTCATTAGACCGTGTTCTTTCTTTTCTTCTCATTTTGTTGTGGTTTGTGATTGCTTTTGGAAGGCCATATTTTTGTTGACCTTGTCCTCTGGGGGTCGGGTTGGGGAGCTTCATGCTCTCCTCTTCTGACGGGGGGTTCTGTTTGTTTGGTCCAGGTGGTTGTTTTGTTCATTTGCAGCCTTCTCCTATTCTGGTGAAGAATGAGACAGTGGGCTTTCGGAGGGGTTCGTTGGTTGAGGATGGTTGGTTGATTAGGCCGGGGGGTGCATCACATGTTGTGTCCGGTGGCGGCTTTATGCTGCTACCTGCGGGCCATTGATTCCGTGACAGTGGACGCTCCTTTGGGTGGATCCAGTTTCCCCTGGTTCCCTGTTCCAGGGTTCGTGTGTCTCAGGTTGTCTGCAGTGTCATTATGTCCAGCCAGCCTGCGGTCTACCCTTGTGCCCAAGATGTTCGACAGTATGCTGCTCTCACAGCAGTTTTTGGCAACATGTCTTGGGCAGACATTCGGGCACGGGGGTTTTGGAGGTTGAACAGGGTCCTAGATGCCGTTAATCTAATGAACGTTCCAGTTCCTTCTCATCCGTGTGTGGCTTTGCGACACCTGTCGTGGCCGTCTGTCTCTTCATCGTCTTGAGTCCTGCAGTGCTGCTGCCTCTCAGGCAAGTCCCTCCTTTTACTTTAAGTAGTTAACTTCAGGGAACCGACGGGGCTCTTCACAGAAAACCAGCGTTTGAATGTAATAAATGCAATTTTCTGGGTGAGCCCCAGAGGCTCCCTGACACCCTCCCTCTTTCCGGTCAGTGGTTTTTCATTGTTTAAGAACTGGGTTGGTGGGCTGGCTCCCCACCGGCTCCCCCCTTTCCATGGGGTGGGGGGGGTAACACCAACGAGCAGGAGCAGTAGTTGCATGAAGCGTTGCTTGTTTGATTTCCTTTTATGGGAGTTATTTTGATCTTTTAGGAAGTAGATTGCACAGGTTAACCAGACAGTGGTCTGTTTTGATTTGCCTACCTTTCTCGGTCATTCCCCAGTCGATGGCAATTATGACATGCAGTGCTTTAAATGTAAAGTGCTCATAGGCCATTGCTCTCTGCACCTCTGAGGCCAGGTTCTGGCTCATGGTCCCTGGTAGGCATGAGGACTCCTGTGACTGATGACCCCAAACCAATATAGCTCATAGCAATTTGGATAGCTTCAGGGAGCCAACAGGGCTCACCCAGAAAATCATGTTTTATTACATTCAACTCTGTTATTTTGTTGTTTCACAAAATATTAATTAGACTAATTATAAAAAACATTTAGATACATGTTGTTAATGGCTGTAATTACAGTTTAATTAATTTTGGTGTATATTTCTAGGGTAATTGAGAGCAATAATCCTCAGTGGTCAGTTGGATCTTTCATGGTGCATTACCAGGGTTGGCGGACACACACTCATCTTTCTCGGGAATTTCTACAAACTAAAGGCAATAATGTCTTGCCATTACCCGATATGGGAGAATTACCCAGAAGCCTTGGTATTGGGATTTTAGGCATGCCAGGGTAAGTTTGAAACAGTAGGTATGTACCTGTATGTCAAAGGAAAGTTTCAGGATTATATTATTGCTAGTCTTTTTGCATAAGATTCAGTGATTTAAGTTCAGGCATGAGGTTGACCCCCATGCCCCTTCTTTGCATGAAACGTCAAATTATACCAATTTCCAATCTCTAAATGCCACACTCCATCGTCACTTAGATTTATTCTGCATATTATTTTCTACATGATGATTAAATGTTAGTTTGTCTTATAAAGTTTATTTGTTGAAGAAGGCAATTTGTATTGAAGATGGTTACATTGATGAGAGAAACTGAAGGGTAGGGGTGAGAAGGGTCGGGAAGATGGTGTGAAAAGGGTCGGGATGGTGGTGTGAGAAGGGTCGGGAAGGTGGTGTGAGAAGGGTCTGGACGATGGTGTGAGAAGGATTGGGACGATGGTGTGAGAAGGGTCGGGAAGGTGGTGTGAGAGGGGTAGCAAAGGGGGAGTAAGAAGGATAAAAATGTGGGGTGATGCTACGACCCAGGGGCCAGATTCACAAAGCAGTTACACAAGTACTTACGAACGTGTACATCTTTCCTCAATCTGACAGCTTTGGTTACATTTATTAAACAGTTTATAAGCATGAAAACTTCCCAATCAACTGTTGTTATTGTTATAAACAGCCTCCTGGTGCTTCTGAGCTCATTAACTGTTTAATAATTGTAAACAAAGCCGCCAAAGATTGAGAAACGGTGTACAGGTTTGTAAGTTCTTGTGTAACTGCTTCATGAATCTGGTCTCGGGTATTTACCTGGATCCTAACTATTCAAATTTATGCATACAGGTATTTATACATTCATCACACCTCATTTTGCTATGTAATACAGAATTCCATATTTCTGATTTCAGTTCATAAGTATTATGATATATTATTATCATTATGTTGCTTGTTTGACATTTATGCTATTGTATTACCCTGTTTTATTTTATTGTATGAGTTGGTCAGTGGTGCGGGCATGCATGAGTTGACCTGTGTAAGAAGAGTATTAGTCACGAGCATGGAGTGAGTGCCAGTGGTACCAGCTTTGTTTCATTAAATGATATTGGTTTCCGTATGAGAAGAATAATTACTTGAGTTGTTGTTCCAGAGTGTTTTTATATACTTATGTTTAGAAATTTTTGAGAGTGATTATCTCAGTGTAGATGTGTGGCTTTCAAGTTATGTTTGTTGTGCTTGGCTAGTGTGTGCCTGGTTGCACTCACGCGTCGGTCAGAGCGAATGAGAGTTCAGTTGCAGGGGGAGTGAGTTTGGCTGCTGGGCATGTCACCAAGTTAAGTAGTTTTGTGCTTTGTTTGTGTCTAGGTCTTACTATGAGTCTGGTATTTTGTGATTTATTAATTAAGCCATAACTCGTATATTTGTGTCAGTGGTCATCAGCCCATATTTTAACTTTGTCTGTACTCTGTTCATTTATTTTATTTTTGTCCCTACCCCAGAGTAAATGGGTTCCTTTTTAATTACAGTGTTTAACTTAATGATTCCTTTAGCAGTAGGTAAATATAACAGGACAATTAGTAGCTATTTCTGGGAATACGAGCATTGCTCAGTTGCGTAGGTTGTAACAGGTGAGAAGGATAGGAAATGTGGTGAAGAAGAGGGAGGCAGTGATGATTATTGTTGTTGATGTGGTACCTGGCAGAGTCCAGTTAGTGAAGATGTGACCATTGTTACCTGAGCATTGACAATTATTACCTCTACCCCACTACAAATATATATATATGAATCTTGGATAACAACTGAAAAAGTTGATTTGTAACCTAATGCACTTTTTACATGCAGGAATACAGCATATTTTGGATTGTTGGAAATTTGTGAACCAAAGGCAGATGATACGGTGCTAGTGAACGGGGCCGCTGGAGCTGTAGGCAGTGCTGTGGTGCAGATTGCCAAGATCAAAGGTGAGAACAGTCTTCACTTGCAGGAAGAAATCAACCTTTATGGGTCTTGGTGGTACAGTTGGGTTAGTTCTCGACTCACAATCAGGAATCCTTGGTTCGGTTCCTGGGTGGGACATTTGGGCACATTTCCCTTCACCTAGCAGTAAACAGGTACCCAGAAGTTAGTCATCTATTGTGGAGTTGCATCATGGGATTAGTCAGTAGAGTAGTTAGACCTTGGGGAGGAATCTCGATACAAGCCTAACATATAGACATACACAATCTGCCAGTCCCCCAACAAAAAAATTAATTATCAGCAGCATATTAAACATTATGAGGTGATTTAATAATCTCGCTTAACTTGTTCCAACAGTCTACCACTGTTTGCAAAAGAAAACTTTCTAATATTTTTTCAGCACCTTTGTTTCCTTAGCTTGACTCTGTGACATCTTATTCTTGTAGTTGCTGGTTTCAGAAATTCCTCTTTGTCAATTTGGTCAATTCCTGTTATTATTTTTTAAGTGGTGATAATATTACCTCTTTTTTTCATATATCTTCTAGCTTTGGCATATTTCAAGCCTCTCTTCATATCTCTTGTTTTTCAGGTCTGGAAGCCATTTTGTAGCATGCCTTTGGATCTTTTCCAGTTTATTGATGTACTTCTTGAGATATGGGTATCATACAACTGCAAATTCCAATTTTGGCCTCACAAACGTCATGAACAGTTTCTTCAGTATTTCACCTTCCATGTAATTAAAAGCAGTTTTGAAGTTAGAAAGCGATGCAAATGCTCCACTCACAATGTTCTGTGTGTTCCTTTGGTGACAGTCTACTATCCAAAACCACCCCTAAATCTCGTTCTTTGTAAGTTCTTTAATTCCTTTCTACATAATTTGTAAGTAGTGTGTGGTCTTTTCTCTCCGATTCCATATTCCATAACATGCTATTTATTCACATTCAATTCCATTTACCACGTCACTCCTAGCACTTATCTTATCTAGATCGATTTGAAGGGCATGATAATTGTCTACGTATCCTACCTTCTCCAGTACCGTAGCATCATTAGTAAACATGTTCATGTAATTCTCTACTCTTTCTGGTAGATCATTTATGTAGACGATGAACATTACTGGTGCAAGAACTGAACCCTGTGGTACTCTGCTAGTAACATTCCTACAATTGGATACATATTCTGATTACTGTCCTCATCTGTCGGTTAGAAAATTTTTCATCCATGTCAGAAGTTTCCCTGTCACTCCACTGTCAGGCCCCTAGGGGCCCTGACAGCTGAATGGACAGTGCTTCGGATTCGTAGTGCTGAAGTTCCGGGTTTGAGTCCTGGTGGAGGGGGAAACAAATGGGCAGAGTTTCTTTCACCCTGATGCCCCTGTTAGCAGTAAATAGGTACCTGGGAGTTAGACAGCTGCTACAGGCTGCTTCCTGGGAATGTGTAACAAAAAGGAGGCCTGGTCGAAGACCGGGCCGTGGGGGACGCTAAGCCCCGAAATCATCTCATGATAACCTCAAGATAACCGTCACCCCCTATAGCATGTTTCAGTTTCCAAAACACCACTTGTGTGGGACTGTCTAAAGCCTTTTTTAGGTCCAGGTAGACAAAGTCAACCCGACCATCTCTTTCCTGTAGAATCTTTGTGGCTCTATCATAAAAACTAAGTAGATTTGTTACACAGGATCTTCCTGTTTGAAAACCATACTGCCTGTCCATTATTATGTCATTACTCTCCAGGTGTTCTACCCACTTGGTCTTAACTATTTTTTCTAGTGTTTAGACTACCATGCTTATTAATGATAAAGGTCTATAATTTAGAAGGTCTACTCGGCTATCATTTTTGTAGATTGGAACTATGTTTGCCTTTTTCAAAATATTTGCTAAGATTCCTGTAGACAAAGATGTCTTGAATATCAATTTGAGTGGGATGCTCAACTCGGTTGCACATTCTCTCAGCACCCGATGTGAAACTCCATCTGGGCCAACAGCTTCATTTCTTCATAGCCTCTTCAATAAATTTTCCACTTCATCTCGAAACACATCTATGTACTCTATGGTGTTTTCTGGAATTGGCATTGGGTTCGGCTCTCTGAAATCCTCATTTTTCACACACTTTGGAGTTGTTCATTTTGTGTTACACACATTTCTTTTTCATTCTCAGTGAACCTTTTCCTCATTCTCAATCTCTGGATATTTTCCTTTACATGCAGCTTGCTTTTAATGAATTTAACAAAAAGGCAGGGATCTGTTTTACATTTATCCGTAACCCCCTTTCTTAAAGTTCCTATTTGCCTCTCTCCTCACTGCTGTGTATTTGTTTCTTACTTGTTTGTAGTGCTGGTATGTTTGAGGGTTAGGCCTCTTCCTATAGTGTACCCATTTCCTTGACTTTTCCTCTCTGGCCTTCTCATAATTTCTATTGAACCAATCCTATTTTAATTGTTCTGCATCTCTGTTTTGGTATATATTTTTTGTACCTTCATCATAGAGTTCACAGAATTTGTCATACATCTCGTGATTTCCTTGCCTAGCAACAAGTGTTTCCAATCAAATTCATTAAAGAATTTGCTAAGTTCCCCATAGTGTCCTCTCTTATAATAAAGATTGTCAACTTTTTCAATTTCACCATTCTCTTCTAGATTATATTGCATAGCGTGTCTAATTTCCAATAGGATGTGGTCACTATTTTCCAAGGGAGGAAGATACTGAATGTCAAATATCTCTCATTCTTTTCTGGTAAATACTAATTCCAGCAATAGTGGAGCATCATCACCTCTCATTCATGTTGGCTGTTTACATTTTGATACACGAGATTCCAGGATGAGGTTTACGAATCAGCTAGTTCAAAAATCCTCTGTTCTTGCTCATAGTTGTCCCAGCCTATCGATTTTAAATTGAAGTCACCAAGAATCAACAGTCAGGATTTATCGTTATCAGCTTTTACTATAATTTCTTTTATGATCGTTATAAGGCCCTCTCTTTTGTCATCGAGCTCCTTCTTAGTCCATGTATTGCTTGCTGGTGAACTGTATGCAGTAATGATTTAGTTTATCCTTCTGAATGCAAATCTCTAGCAGTGTCTACGTCTTGAGGGTTGTCAAGTATCAATTCTGTTGCCGTTAGTCATTTCTTCACCAGGATTGCAACACCTACACCTTTTCTACCTTGTCTGTTGTTACCTATCGTACGTTACGGCTCGTGACCCTACAACAGCCAACTTTAAAAAAGGTCTAGGGTTACTAAAAACTGCTGTTCACAAGAGCGGGTTACCAGTAAAACCCCTTAATAAGTAATGAGCACTTTGTTAAAACTTTCCTTTAGGACTGAAGGAATACATATAAAACTTATACTGTATATAAATATATTACATAAATCTCAATAGCATACAGATGGTTATTTCCTCACAAATATATCAAATTAAAATATCACTGTCTCTCCCGGAAATTAATATAATATTATTATATGTATGGTTATGACAGAACAATAATGTAAAACTTAACTCCACAAGATGTTAACTCTCTGGTTCTGGATCAGCTACTGACTTACATATACGCGGGAGTCAAAATCATTGCCTTGCCCCGCAAAAAATTTGCCAAAGTTACAATATTTATTATTTCTACAATGGAGCAATACATTGTGACAAGAGTAATCTTAAACTAACGTAATGAATGGTCAATACATATTGGTATACAAAAATAAGGTAATATTTGCTTTACATAGTAATTAAAATACACATACAAAGGGGGAATGATGGCATGCTCACCCAGCAACGAACTATCCCACGACAATTTGCCAGATACAGTTCACACAATTATTATTCACCTATGTTACCCACATATGATCACATATAAATCATTAGTTCCCGTGGGAAACTGAGTACACAAAGAAATAAAACAATCATTCCCACGATACGTTGGGCCTAACGCCAACAATGTAACATGAAATTATTTTACATAGAACATATAAGTATATCAATATACATACTTGTAATACTTCAGTTGCATATTGTCCTGGGGACCATTCAGGCTTGTTCGCATACTTGTAATTTACACACAATTATAAAGGTACATATTAATTTATTTAATTACGTATCTTATAGAGGTACGTAACATCTGTCGCATCTTCAAATAGCAACCGAGTAACCTACCCCCCAATTTTTTGCTGGTCTATTTACAGTCAGTTGGGGGACAGTTGTGATGGCCTGGTGAGCTTTACAACTTTTTTCAAGGTTTGCAAGTTAGTTAGTCTTGGATGTAAGTGATTGGCATTTGGCACTGCATGTATTCAGCTGTTTCTTCACATTGTGCTTGGACAAATTTGTAACCCATTGGGTCACGCCCTGTTAGTTATCAGAGCTGTATTTGTTTTTAGTGCATTTGTGTTTGCTGTTGACTTCTCAATCCTTACATTGTTAATTGTTTATACACTGTTAGGTTAAGGATGGCTTACAACTCTTCCTTTGACAGCTAGGCCAAAGGGTGTCAGAACAGGTGACCTAATGGCCTGGTGACCAATTACGTGATTTGATAATAGTCCAAGATAGACTAAAATGTCATTAGTTCTTAATTTTCAGATTTGTGGGGCGATTGTCTGATCTTGCACCACGTTATTGTGACACGTTATCTGCATATAATGGAGCATTCATTAAGACATGTACAAGAGGAAATTCGTTCAGAGTTATGTAATCAGCAGGTTATTCTGTAACGGAAACAAGGGGGGACTGATGTTGCTTGACGTTTGTGTCAAGGCAAGAATTAATTGTGACAAGTTCCTTCGTGATGAACACATACATTCAACAGGCGAACTTAACCGATTCACAACTGAACTAATTTGAACAGCATTATCTTTAATTTTCTCAACTGTCCTAATGCATTCACTTCTATTTTCAGGTTGCAAAGTGATTGCTTTTGCTGGATCAGACGAAAAGGTTGCATATGTCAAGGAACTAGGAGCTGACCACGTTTTCAACTACAAGACCACCAATGTTGGAGAGGCACTCAAGCGGGTAGCACCAGAAAAAATCAACTGTTTCTTTGACAATGTAAGTTCAGCTGCAAGGAAACAAACAAATTTATTGTGAGAGGAAGGATTGAAAAGTAGATAGGAAATGTCAGGTTGTGGCTTGTGGAGGAATTGACGGGGACCTAGATCAGAAATACAGTGGCATAACACTCATTCACTGGGTTCGTCTGGATCTCTGTCAGTGTATGCCTCATACGGTGTATTCACCTAGCTGTGCTTGCGGGGGTTGAGCTCTGCTCTTTTGGCCCTCAACTGTCAATCAATCAACTGTTACTAATTACTAACTAATATCCCCCCCCCCCCCCAAGGAAGCAGCCCGTAACAGCTGGCTGACTCCTAGGTACTTATTTACTGCTAGGTATCAAGGGTATCAAAGTGAAAGAAACTCTGCACATTGTTTCTTGCCAGCGCCGGGAATCGAACCCAGGCCACAGGATTACGGGTCCAGCGTGCTATCCACACAACCACTGGCACCCCACCGGGGCACCGGTGTACAATACTATACACCAGTGTACAATACACATACAATACAATACACATTCTGTACACAGTGTACAATACTGTGTGTGTACTCACCTAGTTGTGTTTGCAGGGGTTGAGCTCTGGCTCTGTGGTCCCACCTCTCAACTGTCAATCAACTGGTGTACAGATTCCTGAGCCTATTGGGCTCTATCGTATCTACATTTGAAACAGTATATGGAGTCAGCCTCCACCACATCACTACTTAATGCATTCCATTTGTTAACTACTCTGACACTGAAAAAATTCTTTCTAATGTCTCTGTGGTTCATCTGGGTACTAAGTTTCCACCTGTGTCCCCTTGTTCGTGTTCCACCCATGCTAAAGAGTTTGTCTTTGTCCACCCTGTCAATTCCCCTGAGAATTTTGTAGGTGGTTATCATGTCTCCCCTTAATCTTCGGTTTTCCAGGGATGTGAGGTTCAGCTCCCTTACCCTTTCCTCGTAGCTCATACCTCTCAGTTCTGGGACCAGTCTGGTGGCATACCTCTGAATCTTCTCTAACTTCGTCTTTCTCTAACTTCATCTTGTGTTTAACTAGGTATGGACTCCAGGCTGGAGCTGGATTGGTTTTACATAAGTGGTATACAGGGTCCTGAACGATTCCTTACACAAGTTTCTAAAGTCAGTTCTTATGCTGGCCAGTCTTGCATATGCCGCAGATGATATCCTTTTGATGTGGGCCTCTGGGGACAGGTCCGGTGTGATATTAACCCCCAGATTTTTTTCTCTATTTTACTCTTGCAGGATATCACCTCCCAGATGGTACATTTTATTCAGCCTTCTGTTCCCTTTGCTTAATTTCATTACTTTACACACACCAATTGAGGTGTATGTGTGTATTTACCTAATTGGCTTACCTAATTGTGCTTGCGGGGGTTGAGCTTTAGTCCCGCCTCTCAACTGTCAATCAACTAATGTACAGGTTTCTGAGCCTACTGGGCTCTATCATATCTACACTTGAAGCTGTGTGTGGAGTCACCCTCCACCACATCACTTCCTAATGCATTCCATTTGTCTACTACTCTGACACTGAAAAAAAATTCTAACATCTCTATAGCTCATTTGGGCACTCAACTTCCACCTGTTCTCCCCTAGTGCATGTGTCCCTTGTGGTAAATAGTCTGTCTTTATCTACCCTATCAATTTCTCTGAGAATCTTGTATGTGGTGATCATGTCCCCTCTAACTCTTCTGTCTCCCAGAAGTGTATGTGTGTATGTGTGCATGTAATTATCCAAGAGTAGTTTCAGGATGATGGTTATGCTTGTAGTGTTTTGTCGTTCCAATAATTTGTCATGTGACTATTTGAAGCTACTGATAGCTTTTGCATTTACCATTTTCTCACTAAAATCATGCCAACCATCAGCAACTTTGTTAGCAAAAGGGAACTTTTGAATATCTTTGCTTTCTAAGCTAGAGTCTGTGGCCTCTTGTTTGTTGCAATTTTTTTTTTTAAATCCTCCTTGTCAATGTTGTAGATTTGTGATGATTTCATGTGTGGTGGTCATGTTTCTCTCTTCTTTCTGTGTACTAGCTTTTGCATCTTTAAGGCCTCCAGTCTTTCCTCATAGCTTTTGTGTTTAGGTCTGGAAGCTATTAGGTTGCATGTCTCTGTACTTTTTCTATTTTGTTTATACATTTTTAAATAGACATCATACAGTTGCTGCATACTCTAATTTTGGTCTCATCAAATGCCTTGTGAGAGGAGCATAGGCTCCTCTCACAATGCATTTGATGTGTTCCTCTGTTGATAGTTTACTACCCAGAGCCACCCCTAGATCTCTTTCCAAGTCCGAGATCTTTAATGTCTTTTCACATAACTTGCCGATCATTTGTCGTTTATTTTTCCCGGATTCCATGTTTCATTATAGGGAATTTTTTCCACATTAGGTTTAATTTCTCATCTGTTACTCCATTCACTTGTTTTGTATAGGACATTTTGAAGGACAAGGCAGTCATCTAAGTCTTTTACTTTCCTTAGTAAATTTTTATGAAATGTAAATATATTACATGACTGACTCCCCTCTGTAGATTGTTTAAATAGACAATGAACATTGCTAGCACAAGAACTGACCTTGTGGAATGCTAGTGACATTTCTCCTTGGATGTATAGTTACCCAAGTGCAGTTACAGGACGAGAGCTACACTTGTGGTGTCCTGTATATATTACAGAGCCTGATAGGCTCAGAAACCTGTTGTGAAGTGGGACCAAAAAGCCAAAGCTCTACCCCTGCAAGCACAATTAGGTGAGTACACAGGCAGAGGCAGATTCAGACATACACCCAAGTAGACAGAGGGAAACTTATTACATGGATGAAAAATTTTCTAACCAACAGAAAAATTCAGGTGGTAATCAGAGGCAGTGTGTCAGACTGAAGAAATGTTGCAAGTGATGTACCACAGAGGAGCAACACTTGGCTAATGGAATTTAATGGGTAAATGCCACTTCATGGAATGTGGAATAGGAGAAAATAGGCCACACAGCATACATGAAGGACTCTGATCCTCTATGTATGTTATATGTTAACTCAGAGTTAAAGAACTCTGATAGAGAGATCTAGGAGTGGTCCTGGAAAGGACATATAAAGAACATTGTGTGAAGAGCCTATTCTACTAAATACATGGATGGCAGAATATTAAAGAACTTGGCTACTGGTGTTTTCAGACATGCTGGGTGGAGTTGAGGAGTGGGTTAATGTTGTAGCCTAGGATTGTGTTGATGTTCCTGATTGCTTGCTATGAACTCGCTCCTAATTTGAACTCCTCCTACATTCCAGCCACCAGTGCTTATTTGGATAATGAAATCAGACTAGCACTGGAATATCCACATAACCCCCTCCCCTTGAACCTGACAACCAGAACCAACCAAAAGAAGATCCAAAGAGATCAAAATAGGGCACTCTATTTCTTGGCAAACATCTCCTTAGACAGGGTGAGAAAAAGAGCTTCACAAGTCTCTGAAGATGATGCCCATGATTATCCATATCAGTCACCTCTTCAGAAAATGATTATATACTGTATAATGTAACATCTCTACATCCCAGACTTGTAAAACCACTTGGACTGGTTGGTAGAGAGATGGTCTCACTTCATGCAGGTCGGCATTCAGTCCCCAACCATCCAAGTGGTTGGGCACCATTCCATTCCCCCGTCCCATCCCAAATCCTTATCTTGATCCCTTCCAAGTGTTATATAGTCGTAATGGCTTGCCATTTTTCCCTGATAATTCCCTCCCTCTACATTCAAGACCAGGAAGGTTCCCTACTAATCATTAACGCAGCTAGTGATTATGAAACTCAAAAAAACCATCTCGTAGAACATAATCACACTTCAGCACAAGGGAATAAGGCACATCCATAGGCCCGACTTCCCAAGACTCGCACATCCTCGATGATCTCCCAGAAGACCCAGAGGAATGGATCTTCCCCAGATCAATCTTCACTTGATGTTACAACTAAAAAATAAATAAAAATTAAATGTATAACACACTACAAAAACATTTTGAGGGCAAGCAGTGCAGAAAGCTTCATGCTTGTGGGAGCTACCTTGGTGAAGGGAAGGGAATTTTCAGGGGAATGTACCAAGCCATTACAACGATATAGCACTTGGAAGAGGTCAGGATAAGGATTTGGGATGGGACGGAAGGAAGGAATGGTGCCCAACCACTTGGATGGTCGGGAAGTGAACACCGACCTACATGAAGCGAGACCGTCGCTCTACCCTCCAGCCCACGCGGTGAGGCTAACTCCACCAGCCCAAAATCAGAACATCTACCAAGTACTGATCAACACTGACGGCCTTCACTAGCCAAACCAGTTGATATATTACCAAATTGCCACCACACATCATACACCACCAGTAACACAACTACTACCAAGCCAAAGTGGACAGGTTACTACACTTTTCATCTCACTCATACTTCATCCTCATCCCATTTCCTGATTTCTAGTATTCATTTCTCTCGTCCCTTTCTCTTTCCTTACCAAATATGAATTGAAGCAGAAGGTCATAGACTCAAGCTAAGGAAACAAAACTGCCAATAAAATTAAAAAGTTCGCTTATGCAAACAATGGTAGATGGTTAGAACACGTTAAGTGAAAAGGTGGTGGATGCCAAAGTGTCAGTGATTACAAAACATCATATGACAGAGTACTGGCAAGATGGGACACCTCGAGTGCAGCTCATATCCTATAACTACTTATAAGTAATTACACTTGGGTAATAACTGGAGCCACCAAAAGGAACCCTCCCAGAAAAGTTCATAAAAACAAATAAGTTTTTCAAATTAGTTATTTTTATCTTTAATGAATTGTGTGTCTATCATAATGCCTAAAGGTGTTTTGCATTCAAACACTTATGGGAAAGATGTAACAAAACTTCACACACTCACTACTGTAATGCTTGGTAATTTGTCCATCTTGTCACAATGTAATTAGACCATCTGACTTTAGTATCTAGTCTGCATAAGTACAATTAAATGTTATTCTTTATTTAGGTTGGTGGACAGTTTACCGCCGAGGCACTGCCTCATTTAGCTGATTTTGGCCGAGTGGCTGTGTGTGGTGCTATTTCCTCCTACAATGATGACAGCAAGGACATTGGTGCAGTCACTTTGACAAGTATGTTTCAAATATTTGTCTTATTTCTGGGGGAAGCCCTTCAACTTCCCGGAGCTTATTCAGGCTGATATGGATATATTAGATTTTGGCATCAGTGTGAATGGAGTTCTTAGGCTTACCAGGGACCACGAGCCAGAACCTGGGCCCCCTCAAATAGGCACGAGGAGCAATGGCCTATAGAAATGCACATGTGGTTTGGAACATTCGATAACATGTCTTGGGCTGACATTCGGGCGCAGGGTTTATTTATTTATTTATATACAAGAAGGTACATTGGATTTGTGAGAATACATAGCATGGTACAGTAATTGCACTCTTGTAAAGCCACTAGTACACTTGGGTAATAACTGGAGCCACCAAAAGGAACCCTCCCAGAAAAGTTCATAAAAACAAATAAGTTTTTCAAATTAGTTATTTTTATCTTTAATGAATTGTGTGTGTATCATAATGCCTAAAGGTGTTTTGCATTCAAACACTTATGGGAAAGGATGGGTTTTTGGCGGTTGAATAGGGGTCCTGGCTGCGCACCACCTGGTCAATGTTCCAGGGTCTAGTTGGACCTGTGTTGCTTTGGGTCAGCGGTTGCAGCCGCTGTCTTGACTTCGCGTTGGGGGCGAGTGCCATCCACCTCCCAGTAAGTCCCTTTTGTTTTCGTCTTTTGGTAAGTAGCTCCGGGGAGCCGAAGGGGCTCTCCCAAGAAAATTGGTGTGGAAGGTAATGAAACGCCATTGTCTGGGTGAGACCCGGACTCTCCTCGGCATCCCACCCTCCCTCTGGTTGGTGTTTTTTTTTTTTTTTTTTTTTTTTTTTTTTTTTTTTTTTTTTTTTTTTTTTTTTTTTTTTTTTTTGCGTGTTTTTGACATCCAGCCTCTGGACTGGAGGTGTGGATAATCGACACAAGGGGTCTGGGGCTCTCCTTTCCCCCTCCTGGGGAATGGGGAGCTGCGCAGACAGCTGCGTGGCAACGTGGTGACATCATGCTTGTTTGCTTGTTTTCCTTTGGGGAGTTCTGTCCACTTGTTTGAATTTTAGTAGTAGTTTCAACTAGAATAGGGGATTGTTTTGGAATGCTTACCTTTCTGGATGACTGACCCCAGTCAATGGCAGACATAGGGTGCTCCAAATCATACGTTCATTTATATAGGCCATTGCTCTTCGTGCCTCTTTGAGAGGGGGGGGGGGGCAGGTTCTGGTTCATAGTCTCCAGTAGACCTAAGAACTCCATTCACACTGACTGATGCCAAAGTCTAATATATCCATATCAGTCTGGATAAGCTCTAGGGAGCTTTCAGGTCTCGCCCAAAAAATGGCGTTTCATTACAGTCAACATTGTCTTTTTTTTTTTTATGTGCACATGTGGCATGCATATATTTATAATATTTACAGTGTAGGTGGTTTTTCTGTGGAGAGCCTCTCCAGCTCCCCAGAGCTATACCAGGCTGATATGTATGTATTAACTGTGACATGAGTTTATTCGATGGAGTTCTTGCCTACCGGGGACCACGAGCCAGAGCCTGGCCCCCTCAGAGAGGCGCAAAGATCAATGGCTTATAGAAACCCCCCCATGTGGTTGGGAGCATTCCATGTCTGCCATTGACCCAGTTAGGAAGAGGAAAAGATAAAAAAATGGGTTCAATATAGGAAGAGGCCTAATCCGCAAACATACCAGCACTACATGCAAGCAAGAAACAATTACACAACAGTGAGGAGAGAAGCAGAATGAACTTTGAGAAAGGTATAGCAGACAAATGTAAAACAGATCCAGGCTTTTTCTATAAATTTATTAAAAGCAAGCTGCATTTAAAGGATAAAATCCAGAAATTGAGAACAGGAAACAGGAGTACTGAGAATGAAAAAGAAATGTGTGAAACACTAAATGAACAGTTCCAAAGTGTGTTTGTATAAAAGGAGGATTTCAGAGAGCCGGATCCAATACCAATTCCAGAGCGTGCCATAGAATACATAAAGATACCTCAAGACAAAGTGGACAAATTACTCGAGGGGGCTAGGAAGAAATAAAGCAGTTGGACCTGATGGAATTTCACCTTGGGGTGCAGCAAGAATGTGCAACTGAGCTGAGCATTCCACTAAAATTAATATTCCAGACATCCTTGTGCACAGGAATCATGGCAGATATATGGAAACAGGCAAACATAGTACCAATCTATAAAAATGGTAGTCAAGAGGAACCTCTAAATATTAGACCTGTATCACTAACAAGTGTGGTAGTCAAAACACTAGAAACAACAGTTCAAGCCAAATGGGTTAAACATTTAGATAGTAATGACATAATAATGGACAGACAGTATGGTTTTTGAACAGGAAAATACTGTGTAACAAATCTACTCAGTTTTTATGATAGAGCCACAGAGATACTACAGGAAAGGGGTGGTTGGTTTGACTGTTTATCTGGACCTAAAAATGGCTTTTGACAGAGTACCACACAAGAGGCTGTTCTGGATACTGGTATGTGCTGAAGGGATGACAGGAAGACTTCTGACTTGGATGAAAAATGTTCTGACAGACAGATGAGGGCAGTAATCAGAGACAGTGTATCCGACTGGATGAGTGTTACTAGCAGAGTATCACAAGGTTCAGTTCTTGCACCAGTAATGTTCATCGTCTGCATAAACGACCTACCGGAAGAAATACAGAATTATATGAAGTTTGCCTATGATGCTAAGATATTGGAGAAGATAGGAGATGCAGACAATTGTAAAGCCCTTCAAATTGATCTAGATAAAATAGGTGCTTAGAGCGTCACATAGCAAATGGAATTCAATGTGAATAAATACCATGTTATGGAATATGGATTTGGAAAAAACAGTCCACACACAGCTTACAAATTATGTGAAAAGGAATTACAAACTCTAATAAAGAACAAGAGCTAGAGGTGGTTTTGGATTGTTAGCTGTCACAAGAGGAACACACACAGAAAATTGTGAGAGGAACATATGCGTTGCTTTCCAACTTCAGACTTATTATTAATTTACATGGATGGCAAAACACTAAAGAAACTGTTCATGACTTTTTGTGAGAACAGAATTGTAATATGCAGCAGTTGTATGGTGCCAAAATCTCAAGAAGCGCGTAAATAAACTTGAAAAGGTGCAACGGCATGCTACAAGATGGCTTCTGAAACTGAAAAACAAGAGTTATGAGGAGAGACTAGAAGCGTTAAACATGCCAAAACTAGAAGATAGAAGAAAAAGAGGAGATAAGATCACTGCTTACAAAATACTAACAGGAATCGACCAAATTGACAAAGGAATTTCTGAAATCAACTAATTCATGAACAAATAGACACAGATGCAAGCTAAGGAAATAAAGGTTGAAAAAATATTAGAAATTTTTCTTTTGTAAACAAAGTGGTAGACTTGGAAGGTAGACTAAATGAGAAGGTGGCAGAAGCCAAAACAGTTGGTAGTTTCAAAGCATTATATGACAGAGTACTGGGAAAAATGGGACACCACGAGAGTAGCTCTCCTCCTGTAACCACACTTAGGTAGAAGATGTAGTAGTAACTAAGGTAATTACTTAGGTAATAACACACACACACACACACTCAGATGTTCTACGGTATATTTAGTCAAACAGATCTTTAACCCTGTCCATGGAGGACAAATGAAATTGTATACATGCTGGATAGCATTGTATAAATGAATGGGTCGTGTCATAGTGTACCCAACTGCCACCAGATGGGATCCCGTGTCATCAGGGATTCCTATTAGCCAGCCATCATATTCATCTACCTAGTGCAGCCAGGATGGTCCCTCTCTCCTGGGGCTTACATTTTGCTTCATGCTTTCAGACATTTATATTTTTTCTACTGTATAAGTAAATATCCATGGATCTCCACATTTGTTAATACCACATAAAACTATATTCATGAAGATCTGCTTGTATTCATGTCTTTGCCAACTTTCCTTTAAAATTGTTAATGTACTGAACATCTTCAAGTATAAAGTTTAAATTACAAATCTTGTTTAGGTCCCTTCAGTGAAGCTACATTAATCTGGAAACAGCTGCGTGTTGAGGGTTTTCTAGTTTACCGCTGGAGTGATCGCATTATGGAAGGTCTAGAGAAGCTTAAGCTATGGATACTGGAGGTGAGTGAATCAAATTTTATTTTTTTTAAACTTCATTTTTATCCCTTACCTTCAACTCCTACCTCATTCTTATGTTACCCCCAGATATGAGATGCTTTCAACTGACAGGTGCTTCACATGATCACTTGAAAGTTAATTCACTATGAACTTGATTCTTCTAATACAGCTTTTGTGAGCAAGTTCCCCTTGGTAGCTCCCTTTATCATTATGCAATGGACCCATCAAGATAGACACTACACTTCCAGCCCCTAGAAAACAAGTACCCTTGCTGTATGGTCTTGTCCCAACTATAAATGAGGTAGAGCTCAGTGAAGAGTATACATCATTGCACCTTGAGGTAAGTGCTCCCTCTTGCACACACCAACCCTTCAAATATTGGACAAGCCCCTATAGAAAATGCTGGACCAACCAGATGGTAATGGCTATGTAGGCCTGCAGGCGGTTTCAAGCAACACTCTTTTTTTTATTTAACACACGCCTGGTCCTAGGTCAGGCTTGTGAAGTAGAATTCTCGGAATTGACTGCAGGTACAACCCTACAGGTTGTACCTGCTACTACCTACTACTACCTGTTGGGATGTTCTGGTCACTAGGTACAACATAAATGTATGTATGTATGTATGTATGTACCTAGTAGCCAAAATGCAGTACTCGGCCTACTATGCAAGGCCAGATTTGCGTAATGAGCCAAATTTTCCTGAATTTATATATTTTTCTAATTTTTTTTCTTATGAGTGATAAAGCTTTTCATTTCATTATGTATGACTTTATTTTTTTTAAATTTGAGTTAAAACTAATGTAGATATATGAATGAACCTAACCAACCCTACCTAACCTAACCTAATATATCTTAACCCTATCTCAACTAACATAACTAAGTCAATAATTTATGTTCTTAATATAATATAATAATAATAATACAAATAACCCAATTGGAAACATTTTGTTGCAAATAAAGAAAATCACTAGGCCTATTAGGCAAGTCGGTCCTTGCATAGTAGGCCGAGAAGTGTGTTTTGACTACTAGGTACGACACATATATATATACTATATATATATATATATATATATATATATATATATATATATATATATATATATATATATATATATATATATATATATATATATATATTGTGACGGTAACACGTTGGTGTTCGGCTGTTCAAAGCTAGGGGTATGGCCTCGTCACATAGTATAAAAAAAAATAGAAAATCTGGAACTTCGTCTGTGGTAAGGTAAGGAGAAGACACACAAAACACAAGTAAATTTTAACAATGGAATTTTAATTACGTTAAATAAATCAAAACATGAATAAAATGGACTTACAAATTCGTATAATAAAATCAATCAAAATAATAAGAATAATTAAATGACACAATGAAAAGTTACGTTAAGACAAGTGAGCAAAATAACAAGAAGTGCAATAGACAAGTAAATGAGAGGTGCGGGAATATCGGCTTTAAGCTATCACCTCTCTTAGTACACGTACGCCAAAGCTTACGTCTAGCAGGGAGAAGTGTTAACTGTGTGAAAGTACTGAATATTCTGAGGACTGAGGAGGTGTCCCTGGCTGCATACGTTTTGCTCTCTGGCAAACCTTGCTGGTGTTGTTGTCGTTGTTGGACATTTCTTCCATAGTAGTTTTATATAGATGTAACGACGTATTTGTGGAGGGAAGAGCAGGCTCAATCTCTTGAAGGAGATTATTGTCACAATATATATATATATATATATATATATATATATATATATATATATATATATATATATATATATATGTCGTACCTAGTAGCCAGAACGCACTTCTCAGCCTACTATGCAAGGCCCGATTTGCCTAATAAGCCAAGTTTTCATGAATTGTTTTTCGACTACCTAACCTAACTTAACTTTTTTGGCTACCTAACCTAACCTAACCTATAAAGATAGGTTAGGTTAGGTTAGGTAGGGTTGGTTAGGTTCGGTCATATATCTACGTTAATTTTAACTCCAATAAAAAAAATGACCTCATACATAATGAAATGGGTAGCTTTATCATTTCATAAGAAAAAAATTAGAGAAAATATATTAATTAAGGAAAATTTGGCTTATTAAGCAAATCGGGCCTTGCATAGCAGGCCGAGTACGACGTTCTGGCTACTAGGTACAACATATATATTATATATATATATATATATATATATATATATAATATAATATAATAATTTTTGCTTTTCTAGACATTGATTCATGAATAATGGTCCCCAAAGCTTCAACCTTTGACATTCCCCACTGTTTTCTGCTCTTCCACAAGCTGAGGATGTTTAACACTTTCGCCCACCAATGACGACGTCTGGAGTCAAAAGTTTACTAGTTCAATACCCACTGATGACTACGGATGGAGTAAAAAATTAAAACATTTTGTTTTGTGAAAACCGTGGTTTTGGACATTATATGCATATACACCTGTAGGGATTTTCATTGCAAACACATTGATACCAAAATGAAAGACCTAGAATGAGAATTGAGGTAATAAAGTTGAAAAGAGTAAACACATTTTATTGCTCTTTACTAGTGCTCACTGGGGTAGCGCACCGTCACTTTCTCTGTTTGTTGTGGGTGGTACGTCGGGCTTTTGGACTTTATATTTGCATATACACCTGTAGGGAATTTTATTGCGAACACAAAGATACAAAAATGAAAGACCTAAGACGAGAATTGAGGTGACCAAAGTGTAAATAGTGTGCACATTTCATTGCTCTTTAGCGCTCCCGGGTAACACTCTTTCACTTTGTCTGCTTTGTGCGGGTGGTATGTCGGGCTTTCGGACTTCACATGCATTTAATCGTGTAGAGAATTCTATTGCGAATACATTGATATCAAATTGGGAAACCTAGGATGAGAATTAAGGTGACAAAGTTGAAAAGAGTATACACTTCTCAGTATTACCGCGCGCTCTAATGGAAGGTCCGGCGCTCCTACCTGCTCTCATCACCTGCTTTCATCACATCGGTGGGTGAAGCGCGCCATGGTTTTTGACAATATATGCATATACTCCTGTTGGGAATTTTATTATGAACACAATGATACCAAAATGAAAGACCTAGGACGAAAATTGAGGTGACCAAAGAGAAAGGAGAGAACACATTTTATCGCTCTAGTGTGCTCCCGGGTAACTTTCTCTCACTTTCTCTGTTTGCTGCAGGTGGTAAGCCAGGCTTTTTGAGTTTATTTGCTTTGAGTTCTGTAGAGCATTCTATTGCGAACACTTTGATACAAAATTGAAAAACCTAGGACGAGAATTAAGGTTACAAAGTTGAAGAGTCTACACTTTTCAGTATTACCGCACGCTCCCGCGGAATGTCCAAGACCACTAGGGTAGGAGAAATGCTTGCTCGCCCAAAATGCAAAAGTGTTAAAAACCTATAGTGAACAATAGCTGGAAAGCCAGATAAGAACTTTCTCTTAGGTGAATTTCTTTACCTTCCCTCCCAATTTGAGCCTCCTCCTTAGTACCTCTTCAGATCCACCCTTATCTTTGAGATGGAAAAAGATCCTTCCCTGTTATGCAGGTTTTTACAATACGTGTATAATTCCGTCAGTCGTCTGCTCACGCTAGACATGATATGCTTTTATTCCTGCTAAGAACCAGCAAATATGCATTTGATCAGGACTCTTCTTAGTCTGAGTTTAGGTTCTCTGCTGCTTTCTGGTAGCAGTATTTGGTCCTTGCCTCCTCCTGGCTGGCAAACAACCTTTTGTTTTCCTTTGAAAAAAATAACACTTTTTCTGGTGGGAGCTCCTTCGGCTTCCCGGAGCTTATCCAGACTGACATGGAATTATTAGACTTTGGCATCAGTCAGTGTGAATGGAGTTCTTAGGTCTACCACGAGCCAGAACCTGGCCCCCTCAGAGAGGCACGAGGACCAATGGCCTATAGAATTGCACATGAGATTTAGAGAATTCTTTGTCAGCCATCGACTGGGTCAGGCACCCAGAAAGTTAAGCATCCCAAAACAAACTCCTACTCTGGTTGAAACTACTACTAAAACTCAAACGAGTGGACAGAACTCCCCAAAGAAAACAAGCAAACAAGCATGACGTCACCATGTTCTACACTGCTATCTTTGCAGCTCCCTCCTCCCCAGGAGGGGGAAGGGGGAGCCCCAGACCTCACATGCTGGCTACCCACACACCAGTTCAGAGGCTGGATGTCAAAAACACATGAAAAAATGCCAACCAGAGGGAGGGAGGGATGGATGCCGGGGAGCCTCCGGGTCTCACCCAGAAAATAGTGTTTCATTACATTCAACGCTGTTCTTTTTATTTTTTTTTCATTCATTCATTCATTCTGCTGTGCTGGAGTGGAAAGAGGTGTCTAGTTATCATAGTTACTTTTCTGGTGAAAATTCTAGACTTTCTCAAGAGGGTTTTGAGTATGGCTGCCCTGATTTGGCTCATTGCGTATTAGCTACTATTTGTACAGGTTCCTTCCACCATTTTCCCTGCCTCATTTATAGCTGGAACCAGGCATGGAGCAAGGGTAATTTTCATCTTGGTGCAGGAGTTGTTCAGAATCTAGTGCTGGCTAATAAGTCTAGTGCTACGTAGGTAGACCTCGGGAAAGGGCTTTTCATTTCATTTCACCCCACTTTTTCTTTGTCTTTTTTACAGGGTAAGATAAAGTACAGGGAGACACTTTATGACGGATTTGACAAGATGCCAGGTGCCTTCATTGGCCTCTTTGATGGTGAGAATATAGGAAAGGCTGTAGTAAAGGCATGAAGACCTACTGGACTGCAGTGTTGGTCTGTGAGTAAAGTGGGCATATTTTTATCCCATATTATCTCATCCCAGGTAGCAACCCATAGCAGCTGTGTGTGTGTGTGTGTGTGTTTGAAAAAAATAAAAAAATAAAATCAGTTGATTGACAGTTGAGAAGCAGGCCCAAAGAGCCAGAGCTCAACCCCTTCAAGCACAACTAGGTGAGAACAAGGCCAACTTTCCAAGCCTTCCCTACACCCCACCCAAATATACACTATATACTAAATATACCCTACCCACTGTATGCTCACCCTACCCACTATGCCCACTCTTCCCACTATGCCCACCCTTCCACAACATCTTGCCATACCCACTAACACTCATTCTCTCAAGAAAGAATTCCTGTAGACTTTCACGAGACACTGGCATCATTTAGTATGATTAATGTAATTATAATTTGTATTTTTTAATGCTAAATATATTCTGTGTAAGCTCGATTATCCGAACTATATGGGAAGGACCCCCATCCAGATAAGCAGAATTCTTACGGGGGAAGTCCAAAAATGACCATATTCCAAATTTTTTGTACCCCAACCAACATAATTTGAACTTAAACACACACTATAAATCAAAAATATAATTTAAATGAGAAACTAAAGCTTACCTTGTTGTAGTTGGTCTTCTTGTTTGATTATGTAGATTTTGAAATGTGTAATTATTGAAAATTTACGTTTCCCGATCTCCGGTTATCCGGATTTCTGTCCAGATATGGAGAAGTTTTGCCCGAAAATTATCCAGCTGTGTTTTGAACGGATAACCCAAATATCCAGTTTAGCGGAATCTGGATAAGCAAGCTCATACAATAGTACTTGGTTACAACAATTTTGAAATTATTAGAATATTGCCTTGCTAAATTTAATACGAAGCCCTTTGTATACGTAGTGGTCTAGTGGGTTCATTCTCGATTTGCAATCAGGGATCCCGGGCTCGAATCCCGAGTGGAACAAAAATGATTTCCTTTCACCTGATGCCTCTGTTCACCTAGCAGTAAATAGGTACCCTATAGTTAGTCAGCATGTTGAGGGATTGCATCATGGGGAGGGTCAGTAAGTTGACCTTGGGGTGACCTCAATACAAGCCTAAAGTATATATTGTATACAGGGTATACACAGCCTTCCCATCCCCGTCAGAATAAGTTGTATATAGATGTATGTCGGACCGATGACAGCAACATTACACTTTGGAAATGGTTACAGAATTTAAGTTAATGAAAACATTATAGACTTCAATTATATAGGTATATAACATTACATGTTGTTTAGTGTTAACATTGTCTGTTAGAGTAAGGTCTGGTTTATACAAATGATAATTTAATAGTGATGTTAGGGGTTTTCTGTTGCGGGAAAAGGAAGCATGTTAGGCTTGTTGATGTCCCCCGAGGTCAATGACTGATCTTTTCCCAGAATGCAACACAACAGTTGAATAACTCCCTGGTACCTATTTACTGCTCGGTGAACAGAGGCATCAGGTATAAGAAAATGTACTCAAATGTTTCACTGCATTGGAATCTAACTTGGGTCCAATCGATTGCGATTCACTTCCAGTAACCACAGTACTAGCGAATCGGACATAATTTGATTGAAGAAAATATTATAGTAAACATTTTAAAATAATATTCAATTTTGCAACATAACTTCATATGAAGACAAATATAATAGTCATAAGTTTAAATATACAGACACTGTATTACAGACACAATATAATACTGGTAATATTGACAACTAAATATTGTTTTTTGCTAATTTACAAAAGGAAATCAGATACCGGTAATTTTCAGAAGTAAGAATAAGATAAGTGTGTGTGTTTATCATAGGTTCAATAGAGGCAGTTTTAACTTTGGTATTTATGACAGATGTAAGTACTGTATTTTAACATGTGGGATTTATATAAAATATACATGTTACAGAATTTGATTATAACTGATGGTATCATTCATCACCTACATGAATTGATGATATACTAAGCATTAATATATGTAATGTAAGAGTTTAAGAAGCAGCAAGGGTGTAAATATATTTATATACTGTATAGTTATTGTATATTGCCGAGTAACGATAACAATAAGTAAGCAGTGAAGTACTGTACACAGTTACAAGAGGAAACTGTATGGGAGGTTGTGATAAGGTGATTTTATGTATTTTAAATCAATTTAATGTTGCATAGTTTTTGTGAGGCTGTTCTGTATATTAAAACCCTTTATTATTGTGGAACTTGTATTAAATAAATCCATATATTGAATGCTTTGGATAAAATTAGGCTTCAGGTTTTTCATAAAAATGTATGCTATTTATTTTGGAATCTATACCATAATAAAAAGAATATGCACGCTATATTTTAATCCCATGATAGAGGTATTGTTGTGTGTTGATCTGAGCCACTGTTGTTGTAATTTGCCAATTGTAGTATTTATGAAAATAATGCTGATATTACAGCTCTTCAGGTGTAATGGAGTTAACCAAGACCCTTTTCAACTATTGTATGTGCTATCGTTATGTAATTGGTTGGTGTTCAATTTTTTTTTTTTTTTTCAGGGATATTCATGTACAGGCTCTAAGCCTCTGGCTTGTTCAATGAGGTCATGTACTCACCTAGTTATGCTTGCGGTGGGTTGAGCTTTGGATCTTTGGCCGCCCCTCTCGACCGTCAATCCACTGGCGTACAGATTCCTGAGCTTCTCGAGCTCCATCATATCTACATTTGAAACTGTATGGAGTCAGCCTCCGCCACATCACTTCCCAGTGCATTCCATTTACTAACTACTCTGACACTAAAGAAGTTCTTTCTAATGTCTCTGTGACTCATTTGGGTACTCTGCTTCCACCTGTGTCTCCTTGTGCGTGTACCACCCAAAATGTTTAAATAATCCATCCCTGTCTATCCTGTCATTTCCATTGAAAGAGGAAGTGCAGTGTAATGTATTTTCAGTGTACTAGTGCAGTGTGGTGTATTTGGAAATGTTCTACAAAACTTATTTGTATAACTGATAGTAACAGTACAGTACGAGTTTGTGATGTTTTCTCCGAGGCATCCACCCCTACTGTGAGGGCACACATAATGTGTGTGTATTATCTTTGTGTGAGTGCAGACAAACCCTGTGTTACTCACATTTTCACTAGCTTTTCTTCCAATATATAATAGTGAGTTGAAGACATCTCGTGTGGCAATAGTAGTATGGGGTACACGAGACAAGAGTAAAAGGAACTTCCTTACCATGGACGATACTGTCGAGTTATTAGAAGAATGTGATAAAGGCTGGGGAGGAAAATGGAGTATGGCATTGGCACTAGTGTTGTTTCTGACAATCAAAGGAATTTGGGTAGAGTTTGGATAGCTGTCTGAAAGATGTATAGTAACATGTGACTTGAGTTTGTGGGATTTTTCTGACAAGGTTAGCACCAACAGATGAAAAGAAGCTATTAAATTTGGTTGCCGTTTCTAGATCTGTTGCAGGTGTGTAACCATCCTTGGAGATTTTTATCTGGTTATGTGAATGTTGTTTAAGTCTTAGAATGTTAAAGATGGCTCTCCATGTGCTTTTCATGTTGCTGTTTGCTTCTTTGACTCTATTCTCATAATAGGAAAGTTTTGCTTTTCTTATTATACTGGTGAGCACTGATGAGTGCCTCTTAACTACTTCCTTTGCAACTAGGACAATCTGAAGTTTTTTTTTCATATTAATGTTTCTTGTTGATTGCTTTGAGTATGCCATTTGTGAGCCAGGGATTGTTTAACTTTTTGCCTGTTATATACTTGGTGAGGAGAGGACAATGAGTGTTGTAAAGGCTTAGAATTTTGGAAAGGAAGAAGGTTAATGAATTTATATCCTGTGTATTAAGTTCATATTCCCAGTTTATATTGTGAGGTGCATTTGTGAGATTGCCTATTGCTGCTTCACTGTGCAACCTAAAGGTAAGTTTCTTGTTAGCTGGTGGTGTTATGTCCATGTTTGCTATGAGGAAGGTAGGATAGTGGTCAGTTATTCTGTCAGTGATTACACCAGATGCAAGGGGAGCTGTTATGTTAGTCCATAAATGATCTAAAGTAGTAGCGGATGTTTGAGTGATTCGGGTGGGCCTGGTGATTGTGGGGATTAGCATACAGGAGTTCATGCTGTTTAGGAAATAGTTGACTTGAGGGCTACTGTATTTTGTTGACACAGGTCAATATTAAAGTCACCTCCCAGAATATGATTTTTGTTGAGGTTGTTGTTTATGATAAGATTCCTTAGGTTATCTGAGAATGCAGCTATGTTTGTATTGGGAAATCTATAGATAGCTCCAATAGTCAAGGAGGGTTTATAGGATTTAATCAAGAATTGATTGAGCAAAGGTATATTCATAGTAGTTGTCTCTATTGCTAATGACACTTGCAGATGAAGGTACAGTATCTTGATAATATATAGCTATGTTGCCACCTTTTTTGTTAGGTCTACAGTTGTGAATGTCTTTATAACCAGCTAAATTGTAAAGTTGAGTATGATCTTTACTTAGCCACGTTTCTGTTAAAATAAGGAACGATAATTTAGTACCAAGTGCTGTGAATAGTGCATTTATATCATCAAAATGTATACCATGTAAGTAATTATCAAAGAAGGCACCATCAAATGTGCTGGATAATCAGAGGGTGCTAAATATTACTGAAGATGCCAATATGAGAACAGAAATAAATGATCTGACATGTTGGTTGAAAACAGTGTGTTATTTTGGAGTTTGTTTTTTGCCATATCAATTCATAGGATGGGTATAGGGTCCACTACCGTCCACAGGATTGGCATATGGTCCACTACCGCCCAAAGGCTGAGTATAGGGTCCACTACTGCCCACGGGATTGGACTATCATCCACAGGATGGGTATTGGGTCCACTACTGCCCACAGGATGAGTATGGGGTCCACTACTGCCCACAGGATTAGTATGGGCTCCACTACAGCATACGGGATTGATCTATCATCCACAGGATGGGTATTGGGTCCTATACCGCCCACAGGACGAGTATATGATCCACTACCGCCCACAGGATGAGTATATGATCCACTACTGCTCACAGCATGAATATAGGCTTCACAACTAGTCACACGATGTGTATGAGGTCCACTAACACCCGTAGAATGTATATGGGGTCCTCTACCAGTTGTAGGTTGGGTATGGGGTCCACTACCACCAACAGAATGAGGATGCGGTCCACTATTACCAACAGGATGGATATTGGGACCACCACCACCTACATGATTGGTATACAGTCCACTACCGCCCATAGGATGAATATATAAATAAATAAATAAATGTTTATTTAGGTAAGGTACATACATAAAGAGATTTTACAAAGTTTGTTGGATTAATAGAGCTAGTACATACAATGCCTAAAGCCACTATTACGCAAAGCGTTTCGGGCAGGAAAAACATTAATGACTAAAGCTTAATACTAATGGGTAAAAAGAATAAAATGTGTTGAGAACAAATAAAAATAGAGGTAAAAGAGGGGGGAACATGGCTGAAAAAGCAGCACAAATACAATTACAAATTATTACAGAAAATTACATTCAAACAGCATTGTTTTGAAAAAAAAAAAAAAAAAAAACATACATGGGTTGACAACAGAGGGGTAAGGTAGGTTACAGGGAATTTATTAGGTAGTGCTTCGTTTATAACTTAAACTGGTTGAGAGAGGTACTGTCTTTAACATGGTTGGGAAGATCATTCCACATTCTGTGTCCCTTGATTTGAAGAGCATTTCTAGTTTGGTTAAGTCGTACTCTAGGAATATCAAAACTGTATTTATTTCTGGTGTGGTGCTCATGGGTTCTGTTACAACCTTCAATGAATCTTTTGAGGTCAGGATTGGCATTACAGTTCAGCGTTTTATATACTGTATGTATAATACACATGAGAGAATGTGCAGTGACTTAATATCTAACATATTCAGAGATTTGAGTAGGGGTACCGAGTTATGTCTGGGGCTAGAGTTTGATATTGTCCTAATAGCAGCTTTGTGTTGAGTAATTAGAGGACGTAAATGATTTTGGGTAGTAGAACCCCAAGCACAAATACCATAGTTGAGATATGGATAGATGAGGGAGTAATAGAGTCACCAGGGCAGGGCGGGATACATAATATCTGATCTTAGAAAGAATGCCAACAGTTTTTTTTAACTTTTTTTGATATATTTAGAATGTGTCCCTGAAAATTCAGCTTGTGGTCGATGAGAACGCCAAGGAATTTGCCATCTAATTTGTTACAAATTTGGGTATTGTTTATTTTGAGATTTATTTGATTAGAGGATTTATTGCCAAACAGAATATAGAACGTTTTGTCAATGTTAAGGGTGAGTTTGTTGGCAGTTAGCCAAAGATGGACTTTCTTTAGCTCAGTATTTACAGTGGCATTTAGAGCAAGGGGATCAGGACTGGAGTAAATGAAGGTTGTGTCGTCAGCAAATAGAATTGGTTTGAGGTGTGGGGAGGCATTTGGAAGGTCATTAATGTAGATGAGAAAGAGGAGAGGGCCAAGTATGCTGCCCTGAGGAACACCAGTGTTGATGGGTAGGGTGGGAGAAATTGTATTATTCACAGAAACATACTGGAGCCTGTCAGTAAGGTAAGATTTGAGGTAATGCAGGGAGTGTCCTCTGACTCCATAATGATGTAATTTAAGAAGAAGGTTTTGGTGGTTGACAGTGTCAAAAGCCTTACGCAGGTCCACAATAACCCAACAGGGAACTCCTTTTTATCAAGAGCTGCGTGAATCAAGTTAATCATACTAATAAGTGTATCGTTAGTGCTTTTTTGGGTCTGAAGCCATATTGACAAGAGCTAAGTATATTGTGTTTGGCTAGAAAAGAGTAAAGCTGCTTGTAGATTAGTTTTTCAAATATTTTTGACAAGTTAGGCAGGATTGATATAGGTCTGTAGTTGTTAACATCTGTGAGATCACCACGTTTGTGGACAGGGGTTACTCTTGTTTTTTTTAGAATGTCTGGAAAGGTTTGGAGTTCAAGTGACTTGTTGAAGAGCAATGCAATAGCAGGGGCTAAAGATCTGGAGGCTTTTTTGTAAATTAAAGTTGGTATCTCCTCGAGGGCACTAGACTTGGTTTTAAGGGAAAGGATTATCTCATTGACATCAGTGGAATTAGTAGGCTTTAGGTACAGAGACTGGATAGTTACCTGTAAGATAGTCCTTAACATCAGTACTGGAAGATGGAATATCATTTGCAAGGGATGACCCAATGGAAGAGAAGAACCTATTGAACTCAATAGCAGAATCAGAGGCTGAAAGCTGACTAACGTTATTGGACAGGAGTGTTGGTTTGTTATTTAAAATCTTCTTTGATCCCAATATTTGTGAAATTGTGCTCCAAGTTTTTTTAATGTTGCTCTTTATTTGGGTAAATTTATCTTCATAGTATTTAGTTTTGGCTCGTCTAATTATTTTAGATAGCAATAACGAGTAATTCTTTGAGAATTCTTTGGAGACGGTTCCTAACCTATACTTCTTCTCAAGGTCATGTTTTTTGTTAATGGATTTAAGTATTCCCTTTGTAAGCCAAGGATTATTAAGCCTTTTGTTTGTGACTTGTTTTGTAAGGATAGGACAGTGGGTGTTATAAAGGCTAAGAGTTGTTTGAAGAAAAGATTGCACTGCTAGGTTGATGTCCCCTATGTTACCTAACTCGGACTCCCAGTTAATAATAATAATAATAATAATTTTTATTTAGGCAAAGGTACATACATAAAGAGATTTTACAAAGTTTGTTGGCTTTATAGATAGAGCTAGTACATACAATGCCTAAAGCCACTATTACGCAAAGCGTTTCGGGCATTAACTAACATTAACATTATTTTATTATTTAACATTAACATAAAGCTTAACTCCCTTGACTCAAGAGGTGGTTTGATAATGTTAGTTAAGAGAAATGTTGGGTAATGGTCTGTAGTGCTATCGGTGATTATACCTGAAGTAAGCGGAGAGGTTATGTTGGTCCAGATGTGATCTAGAGTCGTAGCAGTACTATCAGTGATTCTAGTTGGTCTAGTGATTAAGGGTATGAGGAAGCAGGAATTCATACAGTTGAGGAAGCTAACAGCAGTAGGGTGTTCAGGCTCGCAGAGGTCAATATTAAAGTCCCCTGCGATAATTAGATGGTTTTTGTTCAGTCTGTTATCTAGTATTAGATTTCTAAAGTTTGAATTGAATTCGGACACATCAGTGTTAGGAATTCTATAGACTGCGCCCACAGACAGGACAGACTCGGCACCCTTGACTCTGAAACTGGCGAAGATATACTCCCCACAGCAGTCTCTAGTTCTAATTATTTTTAAGCATGTTAGTTCTTGGTGGTAGTAAAGAGCAGTACCACCACCTCTCTGAATTTGACGACAGTTGTGAATTGCCGAGTAGTTAGGCATGTTAAAGAGTTGAGTAGTATCCTCTTTCAACCATGTTTCAGTGAGTATAATAAAAGAGAATTTGTTGTCAATAGTTTCAATCAAGGCACTAACATCATCGAAGTGTTTACCTAGGGATCTAACATTCAAGTTGATTACAGAGATATTGTGATTATCTGTTAATACATTGTTTACATCATGTGCTGTAAAATATCTGCAATTTTGATCATTGAAGTGATGATTGTCACAGATAGTGGATAAGAGGTTTAGTTCTGGGTCTATACTTGTCTGCATAAAAAGGCTGTTTGCAGGAAAACAAGGCAAGAATGGCAAATTACAAAATAGAAAACAAAGAAAAAAGTAGAATAAAAATTCTAAAGTAATATAAACTTAATGGTAATTTTAAGTAAAAAAAACTTAATGGGAACTAGGAATGTAAAAAATGAACTTGAATAATTAATAACAATAGATGACCAAAAAAGTCAAAAAGCAATTATGAAATCTATAAAATGAAAAGCTTGCTTACTATACTTTTATAAGTACACTATAGTTGAATACTAAAGTTACACTAAAACAAACTGAGGTAGTTTAAATAGAGATACACTCAGGAACACTGGATAATGAAGTTTATACTAGAGGACACAGGCAAAGCCAGTGTACTATGGAACATGGGAGTAAAAAGAAAAAAGACAATAATAAAGATGACAATATTATTATTTTTTTTTTAACTAAAGTCAAAACCTTTTGAAAGGAAAGGCAGAGCCTAAGTACACAAAGGTTAGTACACAATTAGTATTAAGTTTTAGTCTTAGTGTTTTTCCTGCCCGAAACGCTTTGCGTAATAGTGGCTTTAGGCATTGTATGTACTAGCTCTATCTATGAGTCCATCAACTTTTGTATATTACCTTGTATATATGTACATTTCCTGAATAAAAAATTGTATTTGTATATCTATCCTGTTTGCAGTAGTTTACCCTATAGACATTTCAAAATAACATCGTTTTCTGTAGACGTTCCCACAATTCATTCTCTTTCGATTTTCAAAGCATACACTATTGTATATAATATTGATTGGCGAACACACCATTATTATATGTAATAATTTATAGTGCTTATTATAATTTACTTAGAACTTCCAAGATTTCTCAAAACAAAACTAAAAGCCTTCAATTTGATGTAGCTGATCCATGATATTCGAATAACCTTGGAAAATAGTACGTAAAGTTCACATCAGAAGTTTGGCTGGAAAAATAACATTATCCTTTAAAATTGGAGCAAACGGCGCCTTTGCGCTCTACAGTGATGCACTTGTAATTATATATTATATATATGTAACACCTATTTGGATGATTAAAACATATATCAGGTCTAAATTTATTAGATATACATCAGCATACTGTAGTTACCCCATGAGCCCTGGCTGAGCTGTCAAATTATTCCTAATTTCTTAGTCATAAACTTCAGTTTAATTTGATACTCATCAAAACATGTGTACTATAATATTATTCCTGTTTACATTACATTAATAATGGAACATGAAGTTACTTTGACTTAAAAGGTAAGATTGGGGGAAGGAACAAGAGTGTGGGCAAATTCCTAGTGATGGTGAAAGCTTAATTTGTCGTTGGCTATCATCTACAAATTCATTATTTATTACATTTACATGAATCAAATTTTACATAATATTTTTTTCCGGTGGGACCCAGAGTGTGACATCCCACTGATGATTACCTTCTTGTTCCTAACATTGGTGGGCGGTTGTTGAGGCTCACAACAGAGGCTGCACACAGTTGTATGTGATGAAAACAATACTTAAGGGACAGTACTTTTTTTTTTAAACTACATTTTACCACAAATGAGGACTAGATATCTAAGTATTTGATTGTTGGCAGTTGTAAATGTGGAGTAAGAGTATTGAATATAAGCAGTAAGAGCCTTGCAAGGGGATAGGTATGCTAGGAGTAATAAGTGGGGGAGTAGCATACTGAGTGGAGGGTAAAAACCTCCAAGTGGTGGACGTGGGAGCTGAGCGGAGGTACCACTACTAAGCAGGGAAAGGGGTGAAAAAAGTGCGCCAAATTGGGTAGAATAGTTGGGGGCATTGGTGACAAATACTGTAATAGCAAAGTTGAAATTTAATACTACTGTTAGCTTTTGGAGAGTTGATTCCTTGCTACATTTTGGTTAGATATAAATATGAGCATATAATGCGCCTTAGTGTTTGGAAAAAAATAAATTGGATGGGCACAGTGACTTGGACATACTTTTGCAGATGTGAATGTAGGAATTGCACACTTGTAACTTACGATCAGATCCACTCAAGATCTGTTAACTACAAATGGCAACCTTCAATTTTAGTTCATAAACTGCAATAAAAAGTTTTTAAGCAATATGTTATAATATATATATATATATATATATATATATATATATATATATATATATATATATATATATATATATATATATATATATATATATATATATATATATATATATATATATATATATATATATATATATATTCTGTGTACAGTTCCAGTGTGCTAACTTCCGTGGAGAATTTTGTCTGTGTTAAGCATCCATAGGTGTAAGTTACAGGAAGCTCGAGTCTGACACCACATTTTTTACAACATCATTATTTGCTAACTATCAGATGCAATACAAAACATTTTGACTAGATAATGCTTATTAAAGTCAGAAGTGCTAGCTTATGATGAGCCAGAGTAAAATGAGCACAAACTTGTGTTAACCTTATTCAAAGTTTCTCTCATATCCATAACTAGGCTTTTCAAATTTGTATTTAAAGTTAGAGTTTCCTTTCTACTAAAGGTTTAATGTCTCAATATGCTGTAAACTTTACAATATTTATACTAGAAAATTATGAAAAATTTACTACACTATATTAGTGCTATGAATTTTGTAAACTAATATTAACCTGTTGCCATACCTGCTAAAAAAATAATGTGAAACGATATCCTATAACATGTTTTTGTTGACACCTGCCCTGGCATGACAGCAAATACCCCAGGCAGCACAAATAATAATAACTGCAAATGATAATCATTCTCGAGTTTTAGTCGAGTAAGACCATTCATGGTTCAAATCGAGTAGTGCACGATAAATACAGGAACTAGTTGTAGTTCTTAGTTAATACTGACGACTACAGTATTACACACACACACACACACAATCCTATTGTCTTACACACAAAATCTACACATTTAGTATTCAGTAAGTAAGTAAGTGGTTACCAAGCCACTAGGGAGGAACACTTAAATCGGCACACAATCACCAGAGAGCTAAAGCATCCCAGTTATGTCAACTTGGGTCTGTGTTTACCACCAACAACATACATTGTTACACATTTGCAGTGTAACTATACAGCTGCCTAAAGCAGAAAGTAAAGTACAATTATATACAAGAAAACCTAACCATACTTGAAAATTATACATAATTAATTATGGTAATGCTGGGGTGATTATTTTTTTATACTTTTTAAAAGTAATTTATATGGATGTAGTATTGTGACGTGAGGTTGAGGTAGGTGGTTCAGGGTTTGAACTGCTGTAGGGCAGCCATAGGCAAGATGGACTGCAGAATGTCTTGAGAATTGCCAGATATTGAATTGTTTTAAGATGAAGTAATTTAAGTATTCATCTGACGTTGATAAAAGTATGTTCATTGTCCTTGCATTGAAAATCCCGAGATAGTTTGAGAATGTTCATATTTGAGGTTATTTCGTTAGTAAAGTTTATCAAAAATGGTAACAAGTTTTCAAAAATTAAATTTTGTTAAAGGGTGTAGGTATAAATAGTTTCAAATATAAATAAAATATTTTGCATCTGTAGTAATTTTGAGCATCTGTAGTAACATTAAATCAGATACCGTACAATACATACGTAGTCCTGATCTCAAGCATTTTCATTAAATGATGACATTTCAAACCAAATTAATTTCAAGCATTGAATACCTTTTTCCACATGAGACAGGCTGTTGCTGCAAAGTTACGTAACCTTTGTGTTTAAGGAACATTGTGTGATTTCCACTACCAATAATCATCATTCAGGTCCTAAGTTAGCCAAGTCTCCTTAAAAAATATTGGAGCTAATTTCCTATACTGACTTTCTGTATTTTTATGTTTATATACAGTGAATAAATACTTTAACTAAATAACTCCTCACATTAAACATAGATTGAGGCAAATTGCATGATGAATCATCATAAATGGTGCTAGAAATCCAAACATGATTACGTACAGCAATAAAATATTCAGGGTAAAAAATGCAGTAGTACTCAGTATAGCACAAGATCCCTGTTTCCATTATGTTTACTGGAATTCTGGTACAGTGTACTACTGTTAGGGAGAATACCTGTTAGGCTTATCAAGGTCTCCCTATCCAATGACGTTTTCAGTGTTGGTCCGACACATCTGTGCTCAGCTTGGACCACATGTCTATCATCCACTGGACCACCCCATTGGTTGCATAGGTAAGATCGAATAGTAAATCCATGTCTAACCTCTCTACACTGACGAAGATGCAGTTTATAATACATACCTGTTAACAATAACAAAGCTCCTAAAGACATTGTCAGATTAGTACAACAACTCTAGCTGGACGAATTGGTATACAAAATGTAAACATTAAAGATATTAAAGTCTAGGGAGAATGTTACAGGTGGGCTTATAGGAGCATATCAAACTATCTACTTAAAGCTAACACACTAATTGTTATTTTTATGTCCTTGTATAGCTAAATGGAATGTTGAAAAACCAAATGGGGCAGAAGAGAAGCAATTTATATAAATTCTCTCGAAACCAATTCTTGAGACAGATGTTGCTATTAAATATTGGAAGTAATGGCACATTTAAACCATTCATTACATTAAGCCCAACAAAATCTTAAGCACTGTACTATACATGAAGCTCTTGTGCTCCTTTCATATACAGTACTGATAAATTATAAAAATTATTTTATAATTAATATCATCATCATTAGGAGCTTTATGTATAGTACAATGTTTAAGATTTTAATCCCGTGTTAGAATGTCGGGTGCTGCATAAACAACATTTGTGATTCTACACTGTCGACAAAAAGTAAGTTAAGATAACTTACATTGGATATGACAACTACGAATGAATGCTAATATTGTCGCAGAATTCTAACGTTCAATCATAACTTACACGGCTCTTAGTATCTGCTGTAAGCTTCCTCACTTTCTATGACAGCTTACTGATATTTATACTTTTTATGACTCTTCCCTGAAACTTTGCTCTCAGTCTCAAGGTTCCCTAGTGTGCAGCGACAGGACCAGGAGCGGGATGATAAGGAATTTTGTGTAAGTCAAGGATGTGCAGGATGAAGCAGTACGGGCCCCCATCATGGGTAGGATAGAGTTGTCTTGGTCATGAGAGCTGTAATGTCTGCAGCTGATGAGGGTGGGCCCCCAGCTGGTGGGTCTTGGGGAGTCACCCATCTGTCGTGGAGTGGTGGGTGTTTGCCCCAGTGTTAGCCACATGCCACCCATCTCGTCCACACCGGTGCGAATAATCTCCTTCTCGACGATAGGCACCCGCACACCAACAGCTTTGCACCCTCCGGTGGATGTGACATCCTGTGATTTCTTTGGCAGCCACCTTCCTGGTCGCCCACACTCCTTTCCTTTGTATGAGTTGAGAGCATTGGCCATGTCTGTGTCTTCTGGTGTCATCACAAGATGACTAACAATAAAGTCGTGGGCATAAGGAGCAGGTGTGGCAAGGGCATATGTGCCAGTAGCATGGAGAGTGAAGGAAGGCCTGGAACACTCGGGATCGTGGTAGTAGCGTAGTGTCATCGACCATTCCTGGCCCACTGGGCTGTGGAGAGGATAGAGCAGATCAACGGGTCATTGATAAGACAAACTATGGTTGTTAAGATATAGGTGTTCCTTTAGGTAAGTAAACCATGCTTAAATTACAATGTTACAACAACTCATATAACTCAAAGTAACATAAATGATCACATAATACAGTGAAGAGAAGTAAAGCAAACCGGGTAACAACTATGTAATGAATTCGATATGATAGCAAATTGTGCCGAGTGTATGACCTTAAGTGTATTGACCTTATGTCTGGTTGGCATCTGGGTCCAAAAATGCAAAAATGAAAACTCATTCGATTTCAATCAAACTTTTTTGACAAGTTTTATATGAAAAGTGTTTCATCTGGTCCAAGTTTCAGCATTGTAGCATAAATAGGAAGGGAGAAAAAAAATGTTGAAGTAGTTGTGAAAATTATGCAAAAATGGTCAAAATCGATTATCAATCAAAAGTGTCAACTGAAATCATAGCTACGACTCTTTGCTATCACAATAGCATATATTAAACAAATAATATAATTAGTTTAATTGGAAAAAAATTTTAAGGAAAAAAAAAAAAGGATTTTTTTTCTTTCTTTTTTTTAAATTTTTTTTTTTTCATTTTTTTTGGGCGATTTGCATCAAACTTACACACCTGACTGTACGTAAGCCTATCTGTAAGGATGCCAATTTTGGAGAAAATTGGTTGATGTCAACCTCAGCCACAGATTTTAGAACCTTAGACTTTATTCATTTCTGTTTTTTTTTTCAATTGACACAAACGTTTACAAAACTGATTCATTTTTTATTCAATTTACATGAAACTTACACAGTATATGTGGAGGGCATGTCTCTACATTGGGGGGCTTTCATTTTTCTCTAAGTTCATTTATTGATTTTATAATAGCAATAAACATGCCATATTTGCAAAAAAATTTTGGGGAACTTTGAACATTTGTATTAGGAAAACTAAAGATGTTTTGGAAATTCTAAATCCCCAAATCCTTTACTATATGCTAATGTGTCAGAAAAGTGTCACAGAATAATTTTATCTGAAACGTGTGTTCTGACGTGTGGACTTGAAAATGTGTAAAAAACGTTCAAAAAAAAAAAAAAAAACTCCCTTTCTATTTACGCTGCAGTACTGAAACTTGGGACAATTTAAGCACTTTTCATATACAACTAGAAAAATAATATTGGTTGACATTGAACAACTTTCATTATAATAACCAGACGGCCCCTTAAGAGCAGGCAGTGGAATTTAACTAATCCTGTCCCTACTTACGACAAAACGGGTCTGTTTTATCGTAAGCAAAATTGTCATATGACAATTTCCATGACCTCTGATCCTAGGTCATCTTTGGAGACTTCCCCATCAAATGACTCTACATCAACTATCTTACTTAAAAATTGTACTCATATTGGTATCCTGAATGATACGGTATCTTTGAACTCAAACATGCCAAACATACTGTATTGTACTGCTTAAGAAAGGTATATAGCCACACTTGTTTAGTATTTTCTCATGATAATTACTTTTTCTCCATATCATGCAATTACTGCAGTACTGTATTAAATTACAGTACATGCCCCCTAGTGCCAACGTGATACAACTATAGATCCTTGTTTTGCAAATTTACTATTACTGTAATTAAAGTATTTGCATTATAGTAATGAATTTATACAAGTACTATGTATTAAACATCAATTTTGTTTGGTTTAAGATTTTCCCTGAATGTTGTGCAGAACCTATTAGTGGCTTGGCAAGAATGTACTTCGATTTAAAACAATCCAATCTTCATACAAAGTAATTGTCACTAATCAAAATTTTAAAAATATAAATTTATTGATCGTCAGCTCAAGGGTGACGGACACAAATCAAACAAAAACATTATAGAGTATAAAATTCCTGTGCCAAAAGTATTATACTAGCCTTTGTCATCTAAGAAAACCTGCAAAGTTCTCAGGCAACACGGGAGACATCTCCCGTCACGCAGGGTGCAGTCGCACCTCCACGGATCTCCAGTATCATCTATTGATACTGGTGATGGTTCAAAAGGGCCACCACTTACGGGCTATTCATGCTCGTGCCACCTCTTGGGTGGCTTAATCTTTATCAATCAATCTTTCTGGCAAGGCCCCTCCCTTAGTAGCTCTCCTTACTTATACACCAAGTAACTAATCCTTAGATTCCCAAACTAAACATCTGAGATCATCCATCGCCTACCAGAAACTAGAACCAAAATCTGATTTGCTCTAAGAAGGAAAAGGTAGGCTGGGGATCAACCCATATCCAGGGTAAACCCCATCAGAATGTAACCCAGGATATCCACGGTGTCAGCTGGCCTACCTGCTTACTCCTTCACCTGGTGTGACACGATCCTCACCACTTTATCTCTGTTGGGCTCTCTCCAATTTTTCAGGCAAAGTGGAGTTGGCACGCCATGGCACTTCTGTTCAACCGAGAGCCATTCCTAGCTTCTATTTCACTCTAACCATGGCCAGGGTCCCCTTTCCTGAGGTTAAGCCTGCATTTCATTTCACCCCACCAGAGATATTTTCTCTAAGGGGCTGGAGGCTTCCTGTATGAGTGACTCCTCAAATTATCTTAGTCTCCTGGCAGTGCATGAATTTTGTTTTATAATTTGCAGACCCTGTTGATGCAAGGAGGTTGATGCAAGGAGATGAGTCTTTCGTTTGATATAATGACCCCTTTGTTTTGAACTGTAACACTTCACACTTTATACTTTTGTAGGCATGTTAAATAACCAGCCTCTATTACTTAGCTCAGCTCCAGTTGTGTGTTGGAGCAGTGCATGTTAACTGAAGGTGCACTTGGGTCAATTCTAACATGACAGATTTCACTCTCCCTTGTCAAGTGGTTTTGATTGGAATTGTGTCTGCCTTGCAGCTGATTTGCCTCCTTACTTATACTATAGTGAGTGGTCGGTGTCCCTCGTTTTTGTTGGGTTTACCAAGTTCGTGTGTGTGTTCCATTTACCGAGTCTAGCTAAAGCAGTTTGAGGCTCACACGCCCAGCCAGTTGCGAGGCTGGCAAATGCAGCATCAGGGGGTTGACCCACTAAGGGGTTGTGAAAGAAATCAGAGCGACCCTCCACATTGATTCCCTTCTCTTTTTGAGTTGAACCTCAGGAATCTACTTTCCAGGATTCGTGTGCTTCTCTGGTTGGAACCCCAGTCTCTCTTCTTTGTTGCGGCTCTGAGGAAAAAGGTCTTGGGGGTTTTAGGTTGCTGGAAGAGAAACCAAAGGTGCTCTGACCCTCGGTGATGTTTCCTTTGCTCATCCCGAGGGTAAATTTTTGGTTTTCCTTTCTTGAGTTGAATATACTATCTATACTCAGGTTCCAGTGTTTATGTTTCTTCACTGTGGCTTGACAGGATTTGCTTTGGTGCCTGTTGTGGACACTGAAATTTACTTTGTCATTAGATTCATTCACCCTAGGCAGTGAGTAAATGGGGACCTAGTTGTAAACCGACTGGTGGCTCGGTATACAACTGACCTACCAGTCTCAGGTGGGATGAACAGTGGGACACGAAAGCTGTAAACTTGCTAACAAAAGTCATATTCTGCTGTACTCACCTTCAAAAAAGAAAGTGACCCTCAAATAGGCCTTAAACTCTGAAAATAATTTGAGGAAAACCTTTTGATAGTACATAATGCCAAAGATTATTTACGAAGTGATATGAGAAGATATGAGAAGTGTCAAGTGGGTGTTAGTTTACCTGAAGAGGAGGTTACGGGTGAGAAACATGCCGTAGGGTCTGGTCTCACACGAGGGAGAGGCCCAGGCCCCGGCCAGCATCAGTGGGAGGGTGGGCCCAGCGTGCAGATGGGCGGGACTCCACTGGTTGCTCCGGCCCACCTCCCTGCACACGCTGCACTCACTCGCCTGCAACAACAACAACAACAAACAATACAGTCAACACACGTGCTATCACTGACCGCCATCTGCCTCACACCCAACACTCCAGCTCAAGGGCTACACATATAATCAATTGTATACATGTTCCCATCATTATTACTCTCTATATAAATATTAAATGGGAAGACCATATACATACAATACCTTCACAAGTTTAGGAAATTAAATTAGCATTATTTTAATCGGTAACTAAACTAGTAAAAAAAAAGATCTGAACAATAAAAGAAAAAACTAGACACAATTTAGCAAAAAACAAAAAAAAAGTGTAACAAGGCAGTTATACATTATCCAGGTATTGGAGTAAATTCTTGATCATCATCATGTTTCAGCCCCACACATATACCCCGGAGGCCAGGCTCCAGGTGTGTCGGCCACACCCGGAGGCCAGACTCCAGGTGTGTCGGCCATACCCAGAGGCCAGGCTCCACGTGTGTCGGCCACACCCGGAGGCCAGGCTCCACGTGTGTCGGCCACACCCGGAGGCCAAGCTCCAGGTGTGTCGACCACACCCGGAGATCAGGCTCCAGGTGTGTCGACCACACCCGGAGATCAGGCTCCAGGTGTGTCGGCCACACCCGGAGGCCAGACTCCAGGTGTGTCGGCCATACCCAGAGGCCAGGCTCCACGTGTGTCGGCCACACCCGGAGGCCAGGCTCCAGGTGTGTCGGCCACACCCGGAGGCCAGGCTCCAGGTGTGTCGGCCACACCCGGAGGCCAGGCTCCAGGTGTGTCGGCCACACCCGGAGGCCAGGCTCCAGGTGTGTCGGCCACACCCGGAGGCCAGGCTCCACGTGTGTCGGCCACACCCGGAGGCCAGACTCCAGGTGTGTCGGCCATACCCAGAGGCCAGGCTCCACGTGTGTCGGCCACACCCGGAGGCCAGGCTCCAGGTGTGTCGGCCACACCCGGAGGCCAGGCTCCACGTGTGTCGGCCACACCCGGAGGCCAGACTCCAGGTGTGTCGGCCATACCCAGAGGCCAGGCTCCACGTGTGTCGGCCACACCCGGAGGCCAGGCTCCAGGTGTGTCGGCCACACCTACACTTCCTGCCTGGCCTCATATCCACACCTATTCTTGCCTTTTTTATGGCGTGGCAAATCAAGAATACGTGTTGATGAGACGCCACCTTTGCCCTCCGTCTCGGAGGCGCGCCCGTGCCCAGTGTGGCAGCTGTCATGGCCATCAAGACACCTCGAGCCCCCCCCCCCCCCCAGCCATGGAGCAGGGCTACGTCTCCTGTTATCATACATGCTCTACATAAACACTTAATGAGAAAAGGTTCATGTCTCAATAGGCAAATGTGTGAGGATTGAATTTCAAAGTGGTGTGTGCAGCGAGCAAAGCTCGGTCATCACATCAGTTCCCCTCTCACAAAAAAATGATTATTAAGAAGCAATGAAGCTTCTAAATAATTCTATGGAAACAACATTTCAGACTTGACTTTATGAAAATCACCGGGAGGACGGAGACTTAGAGCTTCAGATATTTAAGTGTGGCACTCGAGCTACCTCTGCTGACCCATGACACTCCCATACCCCCTTCCCTTCCCCCAGTGTCATCTTGGAAAGTTGGGCGAGGCTTGCCCTAGGTGCTGGGGTCTTTCATTCAAACACTAAATGAACAGTTCGAAAGTGTGTTGTACAAAATGAACCAGAACCAGACACAATACGAATTTAAGAGAACAATATAGAGTACATATTAGTGTCTAGAGATGAAGTTTGAAAAAATGCTCAGGTTGTTAGGTAGAAATAAAGCAGTTGCACCAGATGGAATTTCATCTTGGGTGCTGAGAGAAGGTGCACCTCAGCTCACTATTCCATTCCAGTTGACTTTTCACACAACTCTACGTACAGGAATCTTAGCAGATCTACGAAAAACAAACACGGTTTCACTCTACAAGGAATGGTAGCAGAGAAGACCCTCTAAATTACAGAACTCAATCTTGACAACCATGGTAGTCAAAAGCACTAGAGAAATATTTAAAATGAAATGGGTAGAATATCTGGAGAGAAATGACATGATAACACGCACAGTATGACTTCGGAACAGGACGATACTGTGTAACACATTTGCATAGTTTTTATGATAGAGCCGTGGACAGTATACTGGAAAGAAGACGGATGGGTTGACTAAATTTATCAGGGGGGGGGGGCAGGCTTTTGGCAGTCCCCACAAGAGGTTATTATGGAAGCTGAAACATTCTGGAGGGATGACAGGAAGACTTCTGACATGGATAAAATATGTTCTGACAAAAATGAAAGATAATCAGAGGCAATATATAAGACAGGAGCAATGTTACTAGTGGAGTACTACAGGGTTCAGTTCAGGGCCCAGTGATATTCTCTATATAAAGATCTATCTGAAGAAACACAGAATTATTTTAAAATGTTTGCTGATTATTATCAGGAAAGATAAGAGACTTAGATAATTGTCATACCCAATTGTCATATTTTGTCCAGGTCCAGATGACCTGGACAAAATAAATGTACGCAGCAACAAGTGGCAGATAGAATTTAACGTCAATAAGTGTCACGTTGAGGAATATGGAATAGAACAACGGCGCGCGCGCGCACACCTGCAAATAATGTGAAGAGGCTTCAAAGAATTTGGACAAAGAGATCAATGGATAGTTGTGTCATCTGAGGATCACATAAAAGAAATTGTGCGAGAGAATATGCCGCGTTCTCCAAATTCAGAACCGTTTTTAAATACATGGACCGTGAGGAAAACTACAGAAATTGTTCAAAACTTTTGAAGTTATCACATAATTCCATGCACCACCCTGCTGGAAGTTAGGGGAAGCCTCTCATTGGGTACAGCTGGGAAGCCTATTTGTCACTAAACTCCTTGCAAACCTTTATAATATAAGACATTTGATTTTATGCTTGACGTGATGTGGATTCCGTGCCGGTGGTGCATATTTAAGTATTAGTCTAACAAAGGCTGTGCAGAATGCCTGACTTTGGCTTCTAAACGACAGACTAATGTTTGTAAGTTTGGTTGCTGCTGATGTCACCCTGTTGTGCGCGCGCCCCTCCTGGTGCAATTATATTCACTCCTAAATCTCTCCATTTCCTGTAGCTGCCTCCATGTTATGATGCAGACACCTCCTAATCTCCTTTCTCATTTTCCCCATCATCCTTACCTTACACTTCTTGGGATTGAATTCTATTAACAGTTTGTACACTTCTGGAGTTTGTCAAGGTTATCTTGTAACTTTTATGCGTTCCTCCTCCTCGGTTTTTACATTAATCAGCTTTGAAGGTGTTCAAACACTGCCATGTACGGGCTCACTCCCTCGGGTAGGTCGTGCACTTGACCTAGGAGCCGTAGTGGTTAACCAGGACCAACCCTCTGGGAACGCTGTTACATGCCTCCAGCTCCAAACATCTTTTGTGACTGTGACTCTGTTTTCTGTCTTTCAGGTACTCCTTCGCCCAGGTAAAGGAGTACCATTATCAAGTCATTACACGACTTGATAATGGTCCAAGAAATGTATATTCTTTTATTTTATTTTCACATTTGTGATTTATTGTCTAGACAATGATATACTGAACCCAATATTTACTATATGTTATGTAATTATAACGAGCGATAAAACTCATTAGTAAGAGTTATCTTAAAAAGTAAGATAAAACTTACCCTGTCCACGGAGGACAGAATATATGTGGAGTTAGCATTGTACATGAATGACAAGAGTTCGTAGTGAAAAAAAATAAACTTAAAGGCATGGCCACCGCCCCCCCCCCCCGGGGTATACAACCCCGGGGCCCAGGAGAGAACTATTATCCCCCGGCACCACACACAATGATCACTATACACAAGGCTGGCAGAGTTTCCCTGACCTTAACACACCCTGACACTGCCCACCAGTCACTCTCCATCCTCAAAATTCCCTAACCAGGCTATTCCCCCCCCACCATCCATTTCTTCTGGTCATAGAGAAAATAGGCCTAAAGTACAAGCCATGAGAACTAAGATCCCACACAGAGATACACTGCCACACTTTGCAGCTTCGTAGACAACACAAGAGTACTGTCCAGTATTGGTAGCTACTTGGGAGTGACAACACCGAAATGAAAAGTGTTGTACCACAAGGAAGCTGCCTATCACCACTTTTATAACATATATACACCTGACCCGCCCCATCCCCACACCTGACCCGCCCCATCCCCAACACGGGGAATATCCACACCTGACCCGCCCCATCCCCAACACGGGGAATATCCACACCTGACCCGCCCCATCCCCAACACGGGGAATATCCACACCTGACCCGCCCCATCCCCAACACGGGGAATATCCACACCTGACCCGTCCCATCCCCAACACGGGGAATGTCCACACCTGATTCGCCCCATCCCCAACACGGGGAATGTCCACACCTGACTCGCCCCATCCCCAACACGGGGAATGTCCACACCTGACTCGCCCCATCCCCCAACACGGGGAATGTCCACACCTGACCCGCCCCATCCCCAACACGGGGAATGTCCACACCTGATTCGCCCCATCCCCAACACGGGGAATGTCCACACCTGACTCGCCCCATCCCCCAACACGGGGAATGTCCACACCTGACTCGCCCCATCCCCAACACGGGGAATGTCCACACCTGACTCGCCCCATCCCCAACACGGGGAATGTCCACACCTGACCCGCCCCATCCCCAACACGGGGAATGTCCACACCTGACTCGCCCCATCCCCCAACACGGGGAATGTCCACACCTGATTCGCCCCATCCCCAACACGGGGAATGTCCACACCTGATTCGCCCCATCCCCAACACGGGGAATGTCCACACCTGATTCGCCCCATCCCCAACACGGGGAATGTCCACACCTGACCCGCCCCATCCCCAACACGGGGAATGTCCACACCTGACTCGCCCCATCCCCCAACACGGGGAATGTCCACACCTGATTCGCCCCATCCCCAACACGGGGAATGTCCACACCTGACTCG